GTACCTACTCCTATTGCACCAAAAATCTACTCTTAAATCGCACCAATAAGAGCCTTAACATGATATCTTCCACGATGCCAAAGGAAAATCGTGACCACAATTCCCCATTAGGTTTGAACCTTGTTCCTTCTACTGGTTAGAAGCAAGATGCAAGGAGACACAAAACTACTGAAAACAAGGTTCTAGGGAATGTGTATTATATTGAAGAAGGGAAAAATGTTTCTGCAGTTAATGCAGATAAGTTATCTGTATTTATTCTAAAAATGACGTCATTTTGGTATTGAAATCTTAAAAAATTATAAATATAAAGACTATTATACCCCTGAAATAAATTAAAATTATAAAAATACCATAATTTTCGCCCCAAAACGACATCGTATTAGACTTACTGCAGATAACTTATCTTATTAATGCTAACGGTTACAAAATCTAAATTCAAGTTATTCATAAATTAATATTTTACAGCACATTATTATTATTATTATTATTGAAAAGATAGCTCCCATTGTATTAAATATTTTCGATAATACGGATGTACTGACCACTTGGTACATTCTTTACCAAATACAAATAAAAATAACATAATTGTTATAAAAAAAAAAAATAATAACATATTTTCATTATCCTTACTTTTATGATTATTTTCGTCCATATTTTGTTTTCTTCTATTTTTGATAAGAAAGTACCTACTCCTATTGCACCAAAAATCTACTCTTAAATCGCACCAATAAGAGCCTTAACATGATATCTTCCACGATGCCAAAGGAAAATCGTGACCACAATTCCCCATTAGGTTTGAACCTTGTTCCTTCTACTGGTTAGAAGCAAGATGCAAGGAGACACAAAACTACTGAAAACAAGGTTCTAGGGAATGTGTATTATATTGAAGAAGGGAAAAATGTTTCTGCAGTTAATGCAGATAAGTTATCTGTATTTATTCTAAAAATGACGTCATTTTGGTATTGAAATCTTAAAAAATTATAAATATAAAGACTATTATACCCCTGAAATAAATTAAAATTATAAAAATACCATAATTTTCGCCCCAAAACGACATCGTATTAGACTTACTGCAGATAACTTATCTTATTAATGCTAACGGTTACAAAATCTAAATTCAAGTTATTCATAAATTAATATTTTACAGCACATTATTATTATTATTATTATTGAAAAGATAGCTCCCATTGTATTAAATATTTTCGATAATACGGATGTACTGACCACTTGGTACATTCTTTACCAAATACAAATAAAAATAACATAATTGTTATAAAAAAAAAAAATAATAACATATTTTCATTATCCTTACTTTTATGATTATTTTCGTCCATATTTTGTTTTCTTCTATTTTTGATAAGAAAGTACCTACTCCTATTGCACCAAAAATCTACTCTTAAATCGCACCAATAAGAGCCTTAACATGATATCTTCCACGATGCCAAAGGAAAATCGTGACCACAATTCCCCATTAGGTTTGAACCTTGTTCCTTCTACTGGTTAGAAGCAAGATGCAAGGAGACACAAAACTACTGAAAACAAGGTTCTAGGGAATGTGTATTATATTGAAGAAGGGAAAAATGTTTCTGCAGTTAATGCAGATAAGTTATCTGTATTTATTCTAAAAATGACGTCATTTTGGTATTGAAATCTTAAAAAATTATAAATATAAAGACTATTATACCCCTGAAATAAATTAAAATTATAAAAATACCATAATTTTCGCCCCAAAACGACATCGTATTAGACTTACTGCAGATAACTTATCTTATTAATGCTAACGGTTACAAAATCTAAATTCAAGTTATTCATAAATTAATATTTTACAGCACATTATTATTATTATTATTATTGAAAAGATAGCTCCCATTGTATTAAATATTTTCGATAATACGGATGTACTGACCACTTGGTACATTCTTTACCAAATACAAATAAAAATAACATAATTGTTATAAAAAAAAAAAATAAATAACATATTTTCATTATCCTTACTTTTATGATTATTTTCGTCCATATTTTGTTTTCTTCTATTTTTGATAAGAAAGTACCTACTCCTATTGCACCAAAAATCTACTCTTAAATCGCACCAATAAGAGCCTTAACATGATATCTTCCACGATGCCAAAGGAAAATCGTGACCACAATTCCCCATTAGGTTTGAACCTTGTTCCTTCTACTGGTTAGAAGCAAGATGCAAGGAGACACAAAACTACTGAAAACAAGGTTCTAGGGAATGTGTATTATATTGAAAAAGGGAAAAATGTTTCTGCAGTTAATGCAGATAAGTTATCTGTATTTATTCTAAAAATGACGTCATTTTGGTATTGAAATCTTAAAAAATTATAAATATAAAGACTATTATACCCCTGAAATAAATTAAAATTATAAAAATACCATAATTTTCGCCCCAAAACGACATCGTATTGGACTTACTGCAGATAACTTATCTGCAGTAACTGTAGAAAAAGCGAACCCATTGAAGAAATCATGAAAATATGCTATAAGGAAAACCAAATTTCTTATTCATATCCTGAAAAATTAAGCCTAGTGTTTTGACTTTATTAATTATTTGTCTTAACAAATAAAATTACTGGATTTTTATTAATCTTATATATGATTTTAAAAAATATATCAAACCTACCCAAATTGTACGAATTTTATTATGATACGTGATCTGAATAAAATATAGTAGGCCCATTAGAGGCCCAATAACATACAAGGAAGCCCAATCTCATGAAGGGTCCATAATAAAGTGCGATGGTCAACATCGCGCGCATGGCAAGACGCGATGCCCCCATCGCGCATGAAACTGCCCTTTGATATAAAATCCAGAAATAAGGAAGCTAACTTAAGAACCAAGGCAAGCTCACCGTGCCTTTGAACTAATAAACAGAGGACAACACCAGCTCGCCGCGACTTTATCAAGATAGCTTGATACTAAGAAGATAAGGCTACTTAGGTCCTAGCCTGACCTGCAGCCCAAACATGACCAATCAGAAGCCATACTGCCTTATGAAGGCGGCATCATAACTGCTATATAAGCATAGGGTACACACCCAGGTACATCTATCTTTTTCAATATTCACATACATACACCTGCTTCTGATACTGACTTAAGCATCAGAGTGTCTTCGCAAGTACCCCCATCCGGACTCACCGCGCTAGCAAAGGACAAAGGCATACTGCTCCTCAACAACAACTCCAAGCCCTAGACAAAGAACATCATACCCGTCTCAACCGTGTGTGATTTGACCCAATACATATTGGTTATCCCATATTGTATTTGGTCTGATCAATACGAAAATCTTTATTTTATACTTAACTAAAAAAAAAAATCAAAATCAAATTAAATAATTTCCTATTTTGTAACATTCTAAATAAAGAGTTTTATTTCAAAATCAAATCAAAATTTATTTTATAACTTTAAATAAATTACACATTTCGTTTATAAATCAAGTCAATTTTTATTTCGTTGCTCCAAACATAGTGTAGACACAAAATAGCCCCCAGATTATTGGAGAACATATACTGGTATACATTAGGCATGCATCCAATTTGCCCTTAGCACATGTTTAAAAGGCCTGACAAACTATGGAACAATACTATGACACAAGTAAACATACTACTCAATAGAGAGAATAATGCTCCCTAAGGATTACTGATAGATATCCCCAAAATGTGGTATCTTAATCCAATGGTTAAGATCGTCTTTGGGCCTAATCTTACTCATAGATAAAATTTGCCCCAAAAACCATTCTTACGAAGCCCAACGAGTCTGGAAGGTTTATTCATAATCTAAATCATCAAACATTATGGTCTACTCATTTCAACCTGAATTATCAAACAGTATGGTCTATTCATTTCACCTATTAAATAAAAAATAAATAAAAATGGGTCCGAAAACTTGTAAAGTTGAACTAATTATTGAAATTTTGCGTAAACTTTTTAAAGACAATTACATAGGTGAAGGTTGGACCTGTGTCTTATAGGAAATACATATAACATTAATCACTACTCCAAAGCCATGTAATAATTAAAATGCTTCTATAATTATTTTATTAAATATATGAATTATATAAGCCAAAGGACAACAATACAGGGATTTTATCCCCTGAAGTTCAAGAATAAAATCTATGTGGTGCAATCCTCAATCTCATTCTTTATTTTTTTTATTTTTTTGTTTTTATTAAATTGTTTTGTATGTTTTTTAACCGTCAGATCATCGAAGTTTAGAAAGTAGCATCAAGGTCTTTCTTTCATTTTCTTTCATTTATTTATTTTGGAAATATTTCTTCCATTTTCAAATCTAGCATTTTACAACTTGCATCAAGCATTTTGCCATCAGACCATCGAAGTTTACTAGGTAATATCAAGGTATGTTTCTTTCATTTCTACTTTACAATAATAATGTACACAAAGCACATACGGAGGCAACTACGTGCTAACTGTCAATAGCCATAGATATAGCAAGCGCATAGGAAGAGACAATCAGTTCTTGAGCCATTTCCTTCATTTAAGTACCCATTCATTTTATCCCAAAGGGGAAAAAATTAGCCACAAGTACTCCAAGCTTATGGCATTTATTGTGCAAGCCCACTGACCATCTTAAAAAATAAAAGATATTAAGAAAAATACGTTCAAAGGCAACGCTCAATCTGCTCAATTCTCTGATATGTCTCCATTCCAACGTTGTGTTAAATTGCAAATTAATCATTGATTGTAAAAATATTATCTTATTCTTCGAAGAATTTTCTCTCATGTAAATAGTAGCTTGGAAAAAAATAGCAAAGCCATCAAAATAAAACAAAAAAATAAACTGAAAAGGCCTAATATGTAAAACTACATAAAATTGTTTGCCATCAATTCCAACCAAGCAACTACATAAAAAAAAACTCTATTATACAGCACTTTTAGCTTCTTCCTCTCTGCTGAGGACGCAATCAAAAGATCTGCTACGGACAATTACAATTTCCAAACAATAAGGTAGTCTTACACTGTTGGAGTTCAAGAACTAATACGGACAGCCAAGCCATATCACTGTCAATATTAGTACCTAAAAGTGACAAAGAACTCAGTATGTATGATAAGAGTCATAACACTTATAGAACAACCATAAGATCACAAGTACCAGTTCAACCTAAGTCCCAAACACGCCCATCTGACCATAAGAAATAAGATCTTCCACTAATAATGATAATAAGCAAATTTATGTCTTTACCATAGCTCATTACCAGATCAGCGCTTAATATTACAGACATTTCACTCGTAAACATCAAATACGACCAGATACCCGAGGCAGAGAGAAAAACAATTTCAAGTAACAAAATAATCAACCAAATAACAAAGGAAACATATAATGAAATGGAAATTGTGTAGGAACAAACAGTCTGTCTTAGTTGCCAACATTATAAAAAAAAACTATAAGCTGATAACCTACAATTTTATACAAAACCACCATCAGGATGAATTTGGCTCAGGAAATCAGTAACTTGTTCTGCCATCACCCTCAGTTATCATGTCCTCAAAGGTTCCATTACTAGGAATCATCGGCAAGACATGCTCTTGATGTGGTACAATGACATCAAGAAGATAGGGGCCAGGGGTATCCAACATTTTCTGAATTGCTGCTCTGAGGTCTTCTTTCTTTGTCACACGAGCTGCTGGTATACCACAAGCATATGCAAACTTCAACATATTTGGGAATATTTCATTCTCGTTGGATGGATCCCCAAGATAAGTGTGAGCTCTGTTAGATTTATAGAAGCGATCTTCCCATTGAACAACCATACCCAAGTGTTGATTATTCAACAACAATATCTTCACAGGGAGATTTTCCACCTTTATAGTGGCCAGCTCCTGAACATTCATCATAAAACTTCCATCACCATCTATGTCAACTACCACAGCACCTGGGTTGGCCACAGCAGCTCCAATGGCGGCAGGCAATCCAAACCCCATAGCACCAAGACCACCGGATGTTAACCACTGCCTGGGTCTCTTGTATTTGTAAAATTGAGCGGCCCACATCTGGTGTTGTCCAACTCCAGTACTTATGATAGCATTTCCATTTGTCAGCTCGTCAAGAACCTGTATGGCATATTGTGGAGGAATATCTTCCTCAAACGTCTCATAACTCAATGGGAATTTAAGTTTCAGCTTATTCAGCTCATCTCTCCAAGCTCTAAAATCAAGTTTACCTTTCATTCCTTTGCGCTCCAATATGCTATTAATTCCTTTCAAGACCAACTTCAAATCCGAACAAATAGACACATGTGGCTGCTTGTTTTTTCCAATCTCAGCCGAATCAATGTCTACGTGAACAATCTTGGCTCGACTAGCAAAAGCCTCGAGCTTTCCGGTCACGCGATCATCAAACCGCACCCCAAATGCAAGCAAAAGATCACTTTTATCCACAGCATAGTTAGCATAAACAGTTCCATGCATTCCAAGCATTTGAAGTGAATTATCATCGGCGGTTGGATAAGCCCCAAGTCCCATCAAAGTACTAGCAACAGGCACCCCAGTAAGATCAACAAATTTCCTCAATTCCTGACTTGAGTTCAAACAACCACCACCAACATACAGAACAGGTTTCTTTGATTCCAAGAGTAACCTCACAATCTGCTCTAACAGTGCCTCATTAGGGGACTTAGGCAACCTAGACATGTACCCAGACAACTTGATTGGTTGGTCCCAATTGGGAACCGCAAGCTGTTGTTGAACATCTTTAGGTATATCAATTAGAACAGGGCCAGGTCTACCAGAAGTTGCTAAGAAAAACGCCTCATTCACAATCCTAGCAATATCATCTACATCCAGAACAAGATAATTGTGTTTAGTGATAGATCTTGATACCTCAACTATCGGTGTCTCTTGGAACGCATCAGTGCCGATCATTCTTCGGGGTACTTGGCCGGTGATTGCAACAAGTGGCACACTGTCAAGCATCGCATCAGCGAGCCCACTCACCAAGTTCGTCGCACCGGGGCCGGAGGTCGCGATGCACACGCCGGGGAGCCCAGAGGATCGGGCGTAACCCTCGGCGGCGAAAATCCCACCTTGCTCGTGACGGGGGAGGACGTTGCGGATGGTGGCGGAGCGCGTGAGTGCCTGGTGGATCTCCATGGAGGCGCCGCCAGGGTAGGCGAAGACATCGGTGACGCCTTGGCGTTCGAGAGCTTCTACGAGGATGTCGGCACCCTTCCGAGGCTCGTCGGCGGCGAATCGGGAAATGAAATGTTCGGTGGTGGTGGTGGTGGTGGTCGTGGAGACGGTGGTGGTGGTGGAGGAGGTGGCTTTGGGGGTTGGGTTGGTGAGGGAACTTGAGATTCGAATAGAACGACGTTGGGGTTTAGAAGGGTTGTTTGGGAATGAGGAAAATGGGATCGTCGATCTGAGAATGTTTTTCAGGGAAGAAGAAGAAGAAGAAGAAGAGATTGAAGGAGAAGGTACGGTTGTGAAAGCGGGTTTAGCACCTGTGGCCGCCATCTTCGAAGTGCACCAAACTCGAACGGTTTGCAAAGTGAAGCCCTAAATCTAATTCATCAATAAATAAGGGGTTTTATTACGAGTATGATGTTACATGATGCAGATCATGTGTGTCATATCATAAACACAAACTTGATATGACACAAATTATAAGATGTGGTTAAATAATGATAATTCAGTTGATATTAATCAGGTGGAGTATAAGTAGTATATATTTGTTGAATTTATCATCTATTATTTAACATTATCAAAAAAAAATTCCTACACACATAATATTTTGTGGAGCCCGCAGCAAAAAAAAATTCGGCACACAAAATGAATCTCTATAACATAACACAACCATTTTTCCTACAACATAACTCTTATAAAACCCACATTTGTTTTCTGGTATTATTTTGGGATGGCTTAATTTCGGAGCAAACCAGATTAGTCATTAAACAATGAAATGATTGGAATATCTAAGAAAAACCATTAGTAGATACCACTTAATTTATTTATTTTTTAAAATAACACATATTCTATATCTCCCAACATGACATATCATGATACTAAATTTTCCCTTATTTTATTTACTTTAATAATTATTAACATTTAAATTTTACAAGATGTTGAAGAAAATAAATAGGAAAAAATGAAATGATTCATTGGTAAGTATTATGCAATCAGGTTCAATTAATGAAATAAGATAAAATAAAGACTTCGTATTTTATCAACTGTGTAAAATTTAAAAAAAAAATTGTATTAAACCATTGTTTAAAAGAATTACTAATATAATACAGATTGAATAATAATGTCAACAACAAAAAATTGTAACAGCTACTCAAAATGAAACTTGAAGAATTTGAAATGGAACATTGGATGAGTGGAAATAAATTGTTAAAATATATTTAGTCTTGATACGTAACATTTATTTTTTATGTAAAAAATATTTTCAATGTTATTATTATAATATTGTTTGTTAGAGTTATAACACAAAAATGTAAAAGTTTAAATTAAAAATAAATGTCAAACATAAAGACTAAAATTACGATATTTAGTCTTTACGTTTTAGAGTAAATTTATATCAATCTCAAGGTATTATAAGAGCAAATTTAAAAACATATATATAATGATTAAATTAAAAAATCGTATAAAGATCAAATTGAAAATTATAGTTAGGTACAACGATCAAAAATATATTTAAACCGAAAATAGCAGGGAGCTTGAACACTCAACGAGAAATTGTGGCACCAAACACTTTTTTGTAGGCATAATTTTTTTGGCTCTAACTTGTTGCCACTCGTTTGAGCTGTTGCACATTATTACTGATTCTCTTAGCTTGACTACAAAGAATATAGATAAAAGCCATATTTGGAATCTCACTTTGACGAAAATATTTTCAATACTAAAGGAGTAGATATTCCTTTATTAAAAGTAAAAATAATAATAATAATAATAATAATAATAATAATAAATAATGAGACTGATGTAACATTAACATTAATCATAAAATAATAGATAAAATAAATGAAATTGGTTGGATTATTTTTAACTATTTCAGTAAGTGATGCACAGAATTTTCAGTATTTCCCAGAGTATTGAAGATATTTTTCACTTTGACTTGTGTTAAAAACAAATAGATGTGAAATGGTTTTACAAGGTTACATTACAGAAAGTGAGAGAAGGCTGTCTATGATTTTCACTAAATTTGTGACCAAAACATAACGTAGCTTTTACAAACAGAAAACAAGGGAGAACAGAAATAATTTTACAATGAAGATAACACATGCTTCCAGCTAAGACATCTTTGGCCTTAACAACTGGAACTCAACCTTGTGGCCAAAGTCCAACCCCCACCACTCATTCTTGACATGGAACTTCACCATCTAATCCATACATTCATATTTATGCAGCCAGAGGGTATGACCGCCAGATGCACCATTTGGCAACAATCAAATTCTTAGTTTTCTGATGTGAACTCTTGCTGTTGTACGACAGACTGAAGCCCAGCTTGGAGTCCACCAATGTAATTCTCACCCTACTGCTAATGCCATCTCAACATTAAACCATTTCCGGGGGTACTTTTCTCATCATAACAGACTTCCTTTGGACACTCATACTCACAAAAGTTCAGTCTCGTCTTGATCTCCATCAGCATCTTCAACATCATTGTCTTCATCTTCTTCAGGTGCATCAGGATCCACTCCCTACAAAGGATGCAAAATCACAAATTTTAACTTCACTTGAACTTTTCAAGGCAATAAATTCTGATATTTCCCTCATCAATCAAATTATAATTTTGGACTAGACCATGCATCTATTCGAAAAAAACAAGCATAATCCAGTAGGAATGAAGTGCAAGTAATGTGTGTGATTAGACGTTGAGAGAAATATAATCAAGCATCAGCATTATGAAAAAAATAAAAAGAGCAAACCTTCATCTGCTTCTCTAAACGCTCTAAACCCCGTTTTGCTGCTTCATTCTGGGGGTTTAACCTGCCATTTTTGCAAAAGGTTAGAAGCATAATAAAATCTTGAACAAAAAGGCTTGCATCACATGGATATTCCCGACAACAAGGATGGGATCCATTGTTTAAATGCAAAGAACTTGATCGCATAAATGGATGGGGAGAAAAAGTTTATTATAATACCTAGTTTTTGTACCAAGGAAAATCATAATTGAAACCCATGTCATTAACTAAAAACATAGCACATACTCTCCCAGTTGCCAAACAATTATTTCGATATTTTTCCAGAGTGAAGCCATTTAATCCAAGTGTCGCCAAACTAAATTATTCTATAACACCTTAAAAAAAATTGCACTATTTACACCCTGACAGATGCTTTCAGAATATGAGATCAACCTTAACGCAGCCTGATAATGTGACAAAGCCTCCTGCAGCATATTAGTGGCAGCAAAAACTTGAGCAAGTTTCACATGAAGAGAGTCATCAGCCCAGTCTTTAAGATATCGCTCAAGCAGAGACACAGCATCCCCATTTCGGCCCTCGATAACATGAAGCTCAGCCAAAGCTAGCGCAGCTCCAAGGTAACCAGGTTCCAGCCTTAATGCAGACTCGTAGAATTTTTTTGCCTATATGAAGAATGAATTAAATTTCACACGTAAGAAAATTAAATAAAGATAGTAGTCTACTATACTTATTTTAAAGAGCTGACAAGTTACCTTTTCTCTGCCACTAGAATTACTGGCATGCACATCACCTACTAATTTTAAAGCCTTTGCCGATTGAGGCATTGCTTTCATTGCCTCTCTGGAAGCATATAAAGCCTCTTTGATTTTAGAGAGAGCCAAATATGTATGAACCAAACCTGGAATGTTCAGATTCATGTCAAAGTCGGTAATTTTACACTTCCATTATTGGCACTTTGCAGTGGATAATGGCAGCAGAAAACATGAATGTCATTGCAGGCAAGAGATGCAATTCAAGCAACTATATATCTTTCCAAGTATGAAATAAACCTTGATATGAGCGAATATCAGGTCTCAATTCTTGAGCTCCTCTGAAGGCAGACACAGCTGCTTCTGCTTGTTTCATTGTCAATAATAGATTTCCCTGAATAAACTCATGTCAGATAAAATTCGCAAAATATACATTATCATCCTCTACAAACATATATGAAGTAAATAGACCCACATTTGATCTGTTGGAAATCCATTTTATTACCTTCATTATATACCCTGGTATGTGCCTCTCATCGATCCGAATGCTCTAATTACAAAATAATCAGTCAATTTATAAGCAATTCTCAAATAGATAAAATAATTCAGTCCACCATGCATCAAATGAAAATACCGACCTGCTCAGCATATGATAATGCTCTTTTCTCATCTTTCCTTTCCCATAAAACAGATAAAGCTACAAAAACCTCTGGTCTTGTAGGATCAATATTCAATAAATCATGCACTAACTTGTTGAGCTTTGAATAATCAGACTTTAGCTTTAGAAGCATTGCATACTCATCCATATACGTTATGATGAATGGATCAATTGATCGGGCCTGTGATCACCAAATTATCAATATAATTATAAGCTCAGTAAACACATTAAATAACCAGGTCGGGAAGAAGAGAAAAATCTATTCACATCATAAGCTATAACTCCATATTACCTTCTCAAAATTCATAATGGCCTCTTCATTCTTTCCAATAATAGCTTCAACCTTCATTTACAATATACATCAAAATTTACATGTTAAACAATCAATTCAAGGAAATTTCATGTACAAAAGTAGTTATACGGGAAAGGGATCCCCACCATGGTAGGGAAAGGATGCAATCCTTAGCACAGGGTCAGCAATTAGTTAAATTTAAAATTTAAAAAATCCAAACAGTCAACTCAAAGGAATAGTAAGGATGATCTGTCACAACACTAGCTTTAGAAAGCCAGCCTTTCCCGAGATTCCAACACAGAAAACTTAGAACTGGGTGCATAATCTTCCTGGTTGAAAGGGTATATTACAAAGTTCTAAAACATTGCAACAAGTCTAACCTTTGCAATCTCAAGTAGTAAGTGTATATTATTAGGGAAACGCTGTAAAAGATCTGCAAAGAGTTCCAAGCCACCTGCCAACGTTGGAAACATAGTAAAATTGCATGCATCAGACACACATCACAGATGATAATATAAACTACAAAGTAAAAACAGATTAGGAAAAAATCTCTTTTTTCTTTACGATCTTGTCCAGGTTTGATCAAAACAAGAGAACAAGAAGCTAACGCAAAAAAATGAGTCGTGTTAGAATATTAGATATGATATGATTAGATATGATTGGATTCTGTCTTATCCGTAAATAGTCTGACTGTATTCTGACTGTATTAGGATTAGGTTTGGGCCTTACACTTAAGCCCATTAGGGTCTCTATATATTGTAACTCCCTGACACAGATCAATACACAACGTATTCTTTTACATTTAACTTTGTATCAGAGCTCTTTCGTTCTAGGAACCCTCGCTTCCGCTTAGAAACCTTGTTTTTTTTTTTTGCTTTAAAAACCTAAGCCCACTGCTTAGGAGTCCTCTTTCTTGCCGTGCGTCCTTCCGACAAGCCTTCTAGGGCTGTAAACAGCCTCTGAGTGATTTTTCCAAACGCATCAGCACCTCCGACGGCCACCGGAACCACCGCCCGCCGTCAGAATCACTGTTCAGGCAACCGGAAACTTTTTCCGGCGACTTTTCCGACCAAACTTCACGCGATCAGGACCCTCTCTTCCCGGCGACCAGGTCTGTGGTGGTCCGGTCAGCAACGCATCTCCCACGCGCCACCTGTCTTCACTGCGCATGGGCTTCACGCGCCACCTTCTGCCGGCGCGTGAGCACTATTCCGGCGGCTTTTTCCGGCCGGTCTTGGACAGAGAAGCTCGCCTTCTCCTCCCCTTTCTGGATCTGTGATTGTTTCTCTGTGGGTCTGACCTTAGACGCGTGGTTCTTCTTGATTGGATATCGTTTGCCTTCGTTTACGGCTTTTATATTTTATCTTTAAATGGCAGCAGCATCTCCTGATCTCTCGGAGGTTAACTCTCCTTCTATTGTTGCAAATATAGCTCAGTCAGACAATGCATCATTTGGTTCAGGTTCGGACTATGCTGCACTCCAAACCCCTCTCAGGAAGGCTTCTCCTCAGTCTCAGCCTTATACTGGTAATCCCGTTGCTTGTGTTTCTCATTCTACATCACTTGGCACTTGGATATTTGACTCCGGTGCTACCGATCATCTCTGTGGTAATAAGGAACTCTTTACATCTCTTACTTATTCTGATCATTTACCGTCTTTTACCCTTGTGGATGGAACCAAAGCCCCAGTTCGTGGGATTGGACAAGCTCGTCCGACCTCTACCTTGGCCCTGACATATGTCTATTACATTCCTGGCATCCCTTATAACTTAATTTCTATTAGTAAGTTGATCCACTCCCTCACTTGCACCATTACTTTCTCTAACCATTCTGTTTCTGTGCAGGATCCGGGTACGGGGAAAATGATTGGAGTGGGTCGTGAGTCACGGGGGCTTTATTATCTGGATGTGCCTCGTCCTTCAGTAGCATGCTCTCTCACAGAATCTCCACAACTTATCCACAGTCGCCTTGGTCATCCAAGTCTTTCAAAGTTGCAGAAAATGGTTCCTCTTTTGTCCGGTCTTCAGTCTTTAGATTGTGTGTCATGTCAACAAGGGAAGCATACACGCTCCTCTTTTGCCAGTCGAGTCAATAAACGAGCTGATGCCCCTTTCTCTCTTGTTCATTCAGATATCTGGGGTCCAAGTCGTACCTAGTCTGTCTTAGGTTTTCGGTATTTCGTTACCTTTATTGATGATTTTTCCCGTTGCACTTGGACCTATTTAATGAAAAATCGTTCTGAGTTATTTTCCATTTATAAAAAGTTTTCTACTGAGATCCAGACTCAATTTGGTGTTTCTATTCGTATTCTACGTAGTGATAATGCTAAGGAATATGTTTCTATTGATTTTTCTAATTTCTTGGCCACACAAGGTACTTTACATCAAACTACTTGTCCTCACACTCCACAACAAAATGGGGTGGCTGAACGTAAAAACAGACATCTCATTGAAACTGCCCGTACCTTTCTTATTCATATGCAGGTTCCCCTTCACTTCTGGGCAGATGCTGTACTCATCTCTTGTTTTCTCATCAATCGCATGCCTTCATCTGTGCTCCACAATGACATTCCTCATAATCTATTGCTTCAAGATGTTCCTCTTTATCCTTTAACTCCACATGTCTTTGATTGTACTTGTTTTGTTCATGATCTCACTCCTGGTAAGGATAAGTTAACATCCAAAGCCTTTCAGTGTATCTTTCTTGGTTATTCTCGTCTTCAAAAGGGTTATCGTTGTTATTCTCCTGACCTTAAGCGTTACTTAGTTTCCGCTGATGTCACTTTTCTTGATCAACAACCCTTTAGTTCTATCCCATCTCAGATGTCACAAGTTGATCATGTACTTCCTGTCCCTTTTCTTGACTTGTCTTTGCCAGCTGCAGGTGCTTCTATTCCAGATGAGCAACCTATTGCTTCTATACCTGAGGACCGTCCACTTCTCACCTATCAGCGTCGCAAAACTGTGCCTCCTGTCGACTCGACTCTTGCTGACTCATCGCCCACTGTTGTTGCTTCTTCCCCTCCGGATCCTTCATCAGAGACTCTTCCCATTGCTCAAAGAAAAGGTACCATACTACTCGTAACCCTTATCCTCTTTATACCTTTTTGAGTTATGACCGTCTTTCTTCACCTCATTTCACCTTTGTTTCTAGTCTTTCTTCTATTTCTATTCCTAAGACCACAGGTGAAGCACTTTCCCATCCAGGGTGGCGCCAAGCAATGCTTGATGAAATGACTGCACTTCATTCCAATGGCACTTGGGACCTTGTTTCTGCTCCTCCAGAGAAGTCTATAGTTGATTGTCGCTGGGTTTTTACTGTGAAAGTTGGACCTGATGGCCATATTGATCGTCTCAAGGCACGTTTAGTTGCCAAGGGTTTTACTCAAATCTTTGGCCTTGATTATAGCGATACATTTTCTCCGGTCGCTAAGATGGCGTCAGTCCGCCTCTTTCTTGCCCTTGCTGCTGTTCGTCACTGGCCACTCCTTCAACTTGACATCAAAAATGCCTTTCTTCATGGTGATTTACAAGAAGAAGTTTACATGGAGCAACCACCTGGTTTTGTTGCTCAGGGGGAGTCTGGAAAGGTGTATCGTCTTCGGAAATCCTTATATGGTCTCAAGCAGTCTCCTCGAGCATGGTTCAGTCGCTTCAATTCTGCTGTTCAGGCGTTTGGCTTAATCCGCAGTAAAGTTGACCATTCTGTGTTTTATAGGATTACATCTCCTGATAAGTGTATCTATTTGTTAGTCTATGTTGACGACATCATTCTCACCGGAAGTGATCAAGACGGAATTCGTCAGTTAAAACAGCATTTGTTTAGTACATTTCAAACAAAGGACCTTGGGAAGCTGCGTTACTTCTTGGGAATTGAGGTGGCGCAATCCAGACAGGGCATTTCTATCTGTCAAAGGAAATATGCCTTGGATATCCTAGAAGAAACTGGTATGTTGGGGAGTAAACCAGTTGATACACCTATGGATCCTAATGTCAAGTTATTACCCGGACAGGGGGAGCCGTTATCTGATCCTGGACGTTATCGGAGGCTAATTGGGAAGCTCAACTATCTTACTGTGACTAGGCCAGATATTTCTTTCGCTGTTAGTACGGCTAGTCAGTTTCTTGATTCCCCTTGTGATTCACATTGGGATGCTGCTGTGAGGATCCTCCGATACATCAAAGGAGCACCAGGAAAAGGTTTGTTGTATTCAGATCAGGGAAATACAGAAATTTGTGGTTATTCAGATGCTGATTGGGCAGGATCACCCTCGGACAGGCGCTCTACTTCTGGCTATTGTGTCTTCTTTGGAGGAAACTTAATTTCGTGGAAGAGCAAGAAACAACCTGTTGTTGCTCGATCTAGTGCAGAAGCTGAGTATCGTGCAATGGCAAATGCTACCTGTGAGTTAGTCTGGTTAAAGCAGTTGATTCAGGAGCTTCATCTTTGTGAACAGAAACAACCCATGACACTCATCTGTGATAATCAAGCTGCGCTACATATATCCTCTAATCCTGTCTTTCATGAGAGGACCAAACATATAGAAATTGATTGTCACTTCATTCGAGAAAAGATTCAATCAGGAGAAATCAAGACTGCTTTCGTCAACTCCTCTGATCAACTAGCGGATGTTTTCACTAAAGCTCTTAGAGGTCCTCGGGTTGAATACATTTGTAACAAGCTTGGTGCTCATAATATATACGCACCAGCTTGAGGGGGAGTGTTAGAATATTAGATATGATATGATTAGATATGATTGGATTCTGTCTTATCCGTAAATAGTCTGACTGTATTCTGACTGTATTAGGATTAGGTTTGGGTAGGTTTGGGCCTTACACTTAAGCCCATTAGGGTCTCTATATATTGTAACTCCCTGACACAGATCAATACACAACGTATTCTTTTACATTTAACTAGTCGCATAAACAATATACCAATTTACAGTAGGATTTATCATTTTCTAAATTTTGGGGGGCAGAAATTGGCCTAAGGGCTATGCCCATAGAACACATTTTACCAATGAGATCCTTCAGCAACACAAGCATGGAATCATATGATTCCATATAAAATATAATATCTCACCTTTGTAATCATTTGAAGCCATGCAACACTGAGCTTCAACATAGCGCTGCAAAAAAGTAAAATGGAAAAAATTAATCAGAAATTTCACGTTCCAAGGGTTTGCCTGGCAGTATACGAACACAATCCATGAAACAGATGATGCAAAATTTCAAAGAAAATTCAATGTGAATACATGAAAAACTAATTTTCCAATTATCCCATGCCTATCTTTATGGTAATTACTTTAGGAAATAAGACCACGTAATATAGAATAACAGTTCTCTAGGCAGTTTTGGTGTATGCTTAAAATGTTACTTACAGGTCCATTGCAAAATACATGGACATATGACATTAATTCTCGAAAGAAAAGAAAAGGGTTGGACTTCATTTACTACAATACTGGGAAGGTATTCTTTTGAACCAAGCAACAAATAAGGAGAAAAAAATCAGAATAAACTATTAGTTCTGTCCAAAACCAACTGTTCCAAAAAAGCTTATGCTGTTAGGTGCAACTCAAGAATGATTGTTTTTATCTCTAATATGCTTCCTCGCGTAAAAAGCATTTTTGATTTGAAAGCTTGAAGCAGATTGAAATTCAATCTAGGTAAGGGGGAAGCAAGGATCAAACCATTGACCACTTGGTTATAATGATACAATGTCAAGAAATAACTCTCCTAAAAACTTAAAATGTTAGGTGCAGAGGCCCACAACAAGTTTTACCAAGTAACTGAACTAAGAACAGTATAAAGAAGTATAGCAAATCAGCAATTCAAATGCAAGACCCCAAATCATTATCATGCATAGAAAAGCAAGAACATCATACTGCCAGCAAAGAATCAGTATCTAGCAAGACAATTAATAAATATTATGCAAAAGAGAATCCATTTGGAATAATTGGATTTTACATTGCAAATGATGATTATATTGAGATATGGATATCAATTTGTCAAGCTCAATACATTAGATATACCACCAAACCATCAAAATAGTCCTTAAATATTAAATATTAAATATTAATCTTTGTTCATTCAGTAGACTAGCAGTCACCTTTTGTCACTTTTCGAAGGATTACATTTAGCATATATACTATGCAGGTTAAGAATGATGCCATCTATAGAGAGGCTTATCATAAAATGGAAAAATCTCTAAATTGATAAACGGTAGCAAGTACTTTAAAGCACAGTGACAAACAAGGATTTGAATTATTATGTACAACTTACTTGAAGCCAACGACTTGAGTCTGTATGATCAAATGGAGCCCTCCCACTTCTACTCTGAGTCTGAAATCAAATGTTTACATACCAATTATATTCTTGGAGGTAGAGCTAGCAAAATGGGCTCAGCCCGTCGGGACGGGACGGGCTGAGTTTTTCAAACCCGCTGCCCGCCAAGCCCGCTCGGGCTGATTTTGATTTTTTTTAATTTTTAGTGTAAAATGTCACGGGCTTGGCGGGCTGAGATTTCTAGCCCACCTTCAAAGGCGGGGCGGGGCGGGCTAGCCCGCTTTTTGGCGGACTGGGGCGGGGCGGGCAGCCCGCTTTGCCACCTCTACTTGGAGGATATTCAAATCATATTTGAACTGCAATTTTACAAATTGATCAACTTAAAAAAAAGTTATAAAAAAATCCGTGATAAAAGGTAATGAGTTATTAATAAATCCACTGCAATTAAATGTACAGAAGAAATGTCATAATGCTAGTTAAGGTATTCAAATGAGACTGATCATAAAGTGGTTAGCTGACAGTAACTCAGATGGATAGAATTAACAATTTAACACCCCACAAAGATCATCAGGACAGGAAACAGATATAGTTTTAAAATGAGGTTAAAGCACTTGTTGAAATAGAAGAAAAATAGGACCAGAGAACAAGGTTAAAATTAGAATTTAGCAATTTTTCCATCTTCTTTCCACCAATTAAATCAATTACCAAAAGGAAGGGAGACAAAATCCACCTAAGAATGATTTTGTTAACTCGGAGGGCTGAGTCTTATAAATACCTCATCCTCCACCTTCCTCAGCAATATAGGACACAGCAACCTGCAGGACTAAAGTTTATTCTGTTGCTAAGTACCTAACTGCCTGAGAGGAAGAGCTGAGGTAATTAAATGGCTCCCCAATTCTGTTGTGAACCAAAGGATCAATTTGAGGATCGCCAAGGGCTGAATTTCTATTTAGCTTCAGTTATACAAATTTCTTTCTGCTTTTATCAACATACCTGAGGAAACAATGAAATGATGTCCTTTGCAGTAGATCCCAGTTCTGATAAAGCTGCGATAGCCTCAAGTATATAAGGACAATGTCTGGCAAAAAGACATCAACAAAGAAGTTCAATTTAAAATCCAGTACCAAATTAATAATAGATCATATGAAAGATGCAAATGCACATAGAGGAAAGAAAAAGTTAAAGCAAATAGCCAATTCCAAAAGTCCATAACGCATTCAATACTGCCTAAAGGGAAAGCAAACAGTCAGAACTCAGAAACAGAAAGGAGCTTCATAAAATGAGAGAGAGAGAGATCATATTTTCCATCTATTCCCCCATACATAAACAAACTTAAATTGAGGTTTTTTATATGGCTGTATGGGACATCTGAAGGTGAGAGTTCTTCCCTCTCACCCTATATCAAAATGCCATGCCTGCACTGCTGTACTTCAGCAGGTTCGTAAAGGATTTAATAACTGTGTGCTGTGTCTAAGACAATAAAAAGCAATATGCCGCTTGATGAACAAACATTAAAAATGTGTATTCGATATGAGCTACTAATGCTATCAGTTCCAGCATAAGGACACTAGTGGACGTCATGTCTGAAGGTTGAAGTTCAGTATGCAACGGACTTAGGACAAATGTAAATTAAAAAATGATAAAACAAATCCTTAAAGGCCTTTAAAGATAACTATTGGTGCCATATCAAAGGTTCACTCAGTGTATGAGAAATTTACTTTACAAACCTTAGACATTCTTTGTAAATAGAAACAGCAGCTCGGCTATGTCTAGAAATTCGATATAGCTTCCCTAATAACAAATTCATCGGTAGATTTCTAGCTTTGCTTGGAATTCCTTCCATCTGTAACAAGAAAGTGACACAAAAAAGCTCATGAGGAATGACAAAATTGAAAACAAACAAAAAATGTAATGCACAATCCCATAAACTCCATTTTTCATTAAAAAAAATGCCACATTCAGAACTGAAAAATATACACAATAGAGCAATTTAAGGCTCATTATCTTCATTGTTAATCCCTCCATAAATAGAGAACTGACATTCCTTCACCTCAAAATATACCAACAGGAAATTTTTTGTTAATGGGCATGCACTCTCTTGTGTCTGGTCTGTAGAATGTAGAGGGGAAGAAAACAAACAAACCTCAAGTAGAGCTGCTTTGTTCTCATTCAGAAAACAGTGACATGATGCAATTTTGAATTTCACCTGTCAAAGAGAATGAAAAGGAAACTTCATAAACAACCTGGACATGCAAAACCTTAAAAGCACATCAAGTCAGTCGAACAATCATGAACCAAAGAAACACTATACACTAGTTCACCTCATTCTCATTGATTACTGATACATTGCAAGAATTTGGAGAAGAAGACCTGTTTGATGACAATGCACTCCGAGAAGAAGCCATGTTCTGTTTCGGAATCATCTTGTAGTAATGCAAAGCTTGCTTGTAGGTATGCTGTTCATCAACAACAGAAGAGATGAAAAATTAACAAGACTTCACCACTCCCCAAAAAAAGTAAACAGTTTTAAACTACCCATTTCCTAAAAGCTTTAAGAGAAAGATAGTAACAAAAAACCAACTGCAAATGCAAAAGGGGGGAAAGAGATATCACGGTCTCTTACAATGGCTCTACGCCACTCCCTTTCACGGAAGAACGAATCACCAAGTAGCACCTGCACACAAAAAATATAATAAAAAAATTAATAAATAACCAACGTAAGAACTTTAAAAAAAAAAAAAAAAAGGAAATTTGTAGAGACCAAGCTCTCAGTTTTGAGGTGTGGGTTGGATTCAGCATTTGCAGCAGGTGAAGAAACAAGAAAACAACCCTATTCAAAACAGCAACTTCGGATTAGACCATCAACACAAAAAATTAAAAATTAAAAACGAAAAAAAATAAATTAAAAAGCAACAATATTCAAAATGCAAATTTGAATGGGGGGAAAACAAAAAAGAGATTACGAGCATCTGAGCGGAGTTGTAGAGGCCATGGTCGAGAAGAGTTGCGATTTGATCCTTGGGAACTTCCATTGTTGTGTGCTTCAACGCGCTCTTGTTTTTGAAAAAACACACCTTCACTTTGTTTCTCTTCTCAAAGGGCTTCAATTTGATTGGATGCAAACAGTAACAAAATATCTTTGTATCTCTCTCTCTCTCTCAATATATACAATATATAAACGTAGGCTTTAATGTTTGGGAAAAATGTTTATTATTTTTTTTTCATTATTTTTATTTTTTGTGTTTATCTCTTTTTTAAAATGATATAACTTATATCATTTAAAATGATAAACATCAAATCCATAAATATTGGCTTTAATGTTTATAAAGTGAACATAGATAAATTATTTATATTCGTTTTCAAAATGACTTCATTTTTTATTGAAAAATTAAAAAATTATAATGAAAAAGACTATTATAATCATGAAATAAATCATAATTACACAAATATCTTGATTTCCGTTTCAAAACGATATTATTTTGGACTCACTATAAATAAATTATCTATATTGATCGTAAAAAAAGCGAACTCATAAATGTATCACCCAATTTGAATTAATTGGAGTAATCATAAATATATAAAAGGAAATATTTAATTTTTCATATATTTGATTGGAAATATGCTTTTTGTATGTCTTATCTCAAATATATTTGAAATTTGATTTGATTAAATTCAAACTAAAAATTTGAAGAGTTATTGAAAAACTTTAAATTAAGAAAAATTAAGAGTGAATGGTGCCAATTTAAAATTTCCCTTAATATTTTTCAACTAAATGTTCAACTATAAAAAATAAAAAAAAGGACACGCCGCTAGAGGAAGTTATTGTATAATTTAAAATTGAATAAATACCATTTTTGGTCCTCACAAATTTCACGATGCCTGTTTTAGTTCCTAGCAAATAAAAAGACTCATCGTGATTTCTAAAAAATTCAAAATTGACCCATTTTAGTTCTTTTAGGGACTAATATGGGTCTTTTTTAAATTTGTGAGGGACTACGATTTTAACTAAATGGGTTCATTTTGAATTTCTTAGAAACCATGATGGGCATTTTTATTTGTTAGGAACTAAAACGGGCATCATAAAATTTACTGAGGACCAAAAATAATATTTACTCTTCAAAATTAAAGTATGTGAGAGTGTAGATTATACTAAATGGCATGCCAGTCATGTTAGAAACCATGATGGGCATTTTTATTTGTTAGGAACTAAAGCGGGCATCATAAAATTTACTGAGGACCAAAAATAATATTTACTCTTCAAAATTACTCTTCAAAATTACTCTTCATCATAAGAGTGTAGATTACTCTTCAAAATGCCCATCATGTTAGAAACCATGATGGGCATTTTTATTTGTTAGGAACTAAAACGGGCATCATAAAATTTACTGAGGACCAAAAATAATATTTACTCTTCAAAATTAAAGTATGTGAGAGTGTAGATTATACTAAATGGCATGCCAGTCAAAGTAATTTTCTTGTCACTGTTTGTTTTTGTTTACATTTATTATGATGCTGTCAAAACTCTACTTGATTTATGAAACATCTAAAACATGTCAGCATTTGTTGAGTTTAATTAATTTTAACACATTAAAATCTTGTCTTTAATTAAGTAATCCGCTCAACACAACATTAGGTTTTTCAACTTTCATAGTTTTTTTTTTTTAAATAAAATACAAAACAATAGTATCTATTTGTTTCATGCTGTTGAAATTAGTTTAAAACAAAACTTAACTAGTTACCAGTTTCTTATCTTATTATTTTACAAATTTGTTTTTCATAAATTGTTTTTATAATAGAAAATTAAGAATAAATTTTATTATTTTTGTTTTCTTGTTATTATTGTAATAGATTCTCTACTTTCGTTTTAATTCATCATTCCAGAAGTTGCAATAATTGTTCCCGGAGCTGTCATCGCCAAAAATCATTTTAAATTGGAGAAAAATTTCAGTGTTTTATGAACACCAATTTAATGCTCACTTTTATTAAAAAAAATAAATTATTTTCACCCATTTTTTTTATATTTCTCTTAAGTCGTAAAAAAGAAGGGTTCGTTTTTTCCGCAGTTACTGCAGATAAGTTATCTGCAGTAAGCCTAATACAACGTCGTTTTGAGACGGAAATCATGGTGCTTTTGTAATTTTAATTTATTTCAGGGTTATAATAGTCTTTATATTTATAACTTTTTAAAATTTCAATACCAAAACGACGTCGTTTTAGAAATAAATGCAGATAACCTATCTGCATTAACTGCAGAAACATTTTCCCCAAAAAGAAATTAATAAAAAGGAGCGTAGATCAATGAAGTTTTTGTGGCAGGTTGCTCCTGTTAAAAATGAAATTGTTCCTCTCCTTCTATAAGCACCAGCAGGTTACACTGAAAAGGAGAGGCCAGATTCTGTTCTTTGTGCCATCATTCTCTTTTTTTCAGATTCCTATTTATCCATTCTTCTAAGAAGCGTTTGATAGAGAGAGAAAAATTACAGATAAAAATGATTTCTGAAAATATGATGGGAACTTTTTTTTTCCAGTTAAGTTATTAAAAGGTGTTTGGTATGCCAAAAATTTTCCAAGAATGTTGAGTTAATTTTACTGATACTATGTTTGGTTAATGATAAAATATTACTGAAAATATGTATCAAAATTACAAAATTACCCTAATCTTTTTTTGTCTCATTTTACCCCCAAAGCATCATTTTTTCTTTGCCTTCATTTTACCTTTGCTTCCTCTCTCTCACCAACTCCGTGAGTAAAGGAGAGACTTGTCATGGGACAAAACAAGAGCAGAACAGTGTCATGGTGATGAATCCATGTGCACTTCTTGTGCCTTCAAACCTCAACGTAGTTCTTGGAATAAAATAGCTTAGAAAACCGATCTTCGAGGGTGGGAAGGGTGACTACGCATTGATATCTCCGGTTTCGATTATTGGTTTCGATTTTCCTAACTCAGATTTTGTGGTCTTAGTGAGCACTGAATAACATGTCACCAAAAATGATTAGGGACTTGATAGCTCTGTTACTGATTGCGACCACGTTGTTGGTGTGGCCTTTGACGGTGGCTAGGAGTTGGTGGGGTGAAGTTTGGGGTTGTTGTGGATGATGAGATGGTGGGGTGAGGGAAGGAACAAAACGAAGACTTATTTGTGAAGAGAGAGAGGAAGAGGTTGATGATTCTGAATGAAGGTGATAGGTCAGGGTATTTTGGTCTGAGAGAAGAATGATTATTTTCCCATCGTGTGGGAAAAAATAAAACCATGTCTTGAAAGGTATTCTGCCATGGGATTCGCTAGTGTAAACTAAAATGATGGGAATTTTTTTTCTCAACCTTATTTTTACTTTTCCTCTTACCAAACATGGGCAAATGATTTTCCCCACCCCATTTTTTTGGAAAATTTTTGTTCCCTTCTCCTGTCAACCCCTTAGAGAATTTGAGCAGAAACTGTGTCATTTGCATGGGTAGAACAAAGCTTTCCACACTTTTTGGGACCAAACACAATCACGAATTTCATGAAGAGAGCTTTCCGGATGTGTTTGGCATCAAAGACAGGTGTACAAATCAGCAAAATGTCTCTTGTATCTTTTCTGGTTAGTCATCAAATTATCACCAGCAAGGAGCCAAAGGAAGGTTTTAATTCTGCTAGGCCCATCCCGCTTCCAAAGGTTTTCCAAATCACCCATGACTGATCACAATCATTGCTCCTTAACACATTATAAGTAGATTTTACATAAAAACAATCATCACTAGTTTCTATCCAATATATCATATCCTCTCCATCGTCAGGGCTTGCAGGAAGCATGCTGGCTATGAGACTTTTGACTTCGGGAGTAACAAGGTTCGAGATTATTTGCCAATCCCAAGAACCATCAATCCTAACAAACTCTTAGAGGGGTGTTTGGTATAATTATTTTGGTGGGAATGATGGAAAAGTGGGGTTGGGAATATTATTTGACCATGTTTGGTATCAGGAAACGTAAAAAATTCCCAAGGAAATTATTTCCCCAACATTCCCATTTATAACTACACACTCAAAAAAAAAAACCCCTCCCCACCCATGGTATTTTTTTTCCAAGAACTCGGAATGTGATTTTTACGTTTTAGGACCAAACTACCATGTTGACATATATAAGGAGATGTGTAAAAAGATTTTGCAGATAAACACGATCTTCAAACTCGTCTTCATCTGCTCCATCATCAAATTTTGCATGTTATAAAGGAGAAGAGTCATGTCATCCTTGTCAACTCCAAATGGAATTTGTTCTAGCACACAAAATGGGTTTGGGAACCGATCAGACAAGAGACTACCATAAGGATCTATAAATGATAGCAAAGACCCATTTGCGTTGGAAGGAAAATCAGCAAGATAAAGCAAAAAAATGGCACAAACAATACAATCATTTTTTGCAAGACATGCCTGCAAACAGAACCAAGTTTTGTCAAAGATCGTATCAATAGTTATCCATTTTGAAGACGTTATTTATCAACTTCATGGTTTGAACCTTCTATTTTTTAATCTCTTTAGTCAATAAATGCCTAACATCATTGTTTTGCCGAGCAACTAATGCTGTTTTCAAAAAATTGAAATTAAATTATCACCAATACAAAATTCTATGCAAGCACTGAGATACAATATTAAAAAATGATGGGTACTTTGGTAAATTCAGTTCAGATTCTCATCAATATTTTACAATCAACCAAATGTAGAATCAGTAAAATTAACCCGACATTGCCGGCAAAATTTTGGGCTACCAAACAGCTTTTTGTTATTTTTCTGGGAAAAATATTTTCCAATCATATTCTTAAAAGTCTTTTTTCTCAGTAAAAAAAATATCTCTTGTACTAAATACCCCCTTAAGACTTTATACATGATAGAGTTTTCAAGTATCTCTTCGGTAACTAGATCCTTAAGACACCGAAAATTAAGTAACCAAGTTCCTAACCATAATTTTGTTTTCTCACCATTGCCTACAAGAATTCTGGAGTGTTTTATCACATGGGGGTAAGGGTGGCAATATGGGTTGAGTCCGGCAGGTCAACCCGCCAACCCGCCAAAATGGGGCAGGTTGGGTTGGGTTGAGGTTTTCAACCCGCCCCGCCTAGAAGTGGGTCAAAACGGGTTCAACCCGCCGGGTTATAATTATTATTATTATTTTTTTTACAATTAGGTAGTATTTCATTAGTCCTTAAAATTTTGTGATATCCAATTTTTTTTATCTTACTACTTCTTAGAAAAAATAAAGAATAACAATTTTATTTATGACAAATGTTATCTATATATAAATTCCTAAAGAATGTTTGACAAATATTAGTATACATTTAAGATTGAAACTAAAAAAATATAGAGAAGTGTGAAATAAAATAAAATAAAATTAGAAAAATTCATAAAATATAATTTATTTTTGAATTTTAATTAATTTTTTTAATTGGCGGGTTGATCTGTCAACCCACCATAAAACGGAATGAATTCATTTTTTCAACCCATATTTTTTGACGGGTCAACACCCCGCTCCGTTTTTGACAGGGCTGGGCGAGTCAGGATGGATCAACTCAAATTATCACCCCCACGTAAGGGTACACTTTCACCACCCCTCAAAATTGGACGATGGTGGGAACTAATGATTCTGTAACATTGAACATTATACGGATTATCTAATTAAAGACAAATTTTTAATGTGTTAAATTAATTAAACTTAACAAATGCTCACATGTTTTAGAGGTTCCATTAAGCATCCGTATTTTGTTTATAAATAAAACTAGTTTTAAGAAGAATAAAATGAAGGGGAATAGTAGTCTCATGTCATATGAGAGTAGTTCTCTCATGCTATTGAGAGAATTTAAGTGGGACCCACCATTAAAAAAAAAAGAAAAAAGAAAAGAAAAAGAGAGGGGTGCGATTTTTGAAGTGAAAGAAAATGAGATAACTATCTCATGTAAAATGAGAGTAGTATTTCCCTAAAACGAAACAACATTTTGCCCTTTCTAACTGACAATACTCTTTATTATTAAGTTGTAAAGATATTAAACTTGAATAATCCCCGTGAAAGATTCATATTGTATATGTATATGAAAAAAGAAAAATTATAAAAGAAAACCATGCAAGAGCTTCGATATTACAAGAAATATTACATGGGAATTTTTTATCTCATATCTCACAAAATAGAGAAGAGATAAAAAAAATTTATAGAGGAGAGAAAAAATATAAAATAAATCCTTCTCCCATATAACAACATGTTTATAATATGGGTTCCCTTTAGATAATTTATTTACAATAATCTTAAAATGATATTATTTTAAGGTGAATCAAGTTATTTTTATAATTATAATTTATTTCAGAGTTATAATAATTTTTTAATTATAAATTTTTAATTTTTCAATCCAAAACTACATCATCTTAGAAACAAATATAGATAACTTATCTCGGAATAAACATTAAAGCCTAGAAACAAATATTCAGTGTGTGAAAGCACGTGTCAAGTGGAGGAGGGAAAGCGCGTGTGGCCTTATCCAATGGAAGTTATAAGAATAGAGGTAAGATGTTACTGTTAGGCTTTCCACGAAAATGGCTACTTCACTCTCGGTGTGGTTCTGTCCCAATGCCTTAGCTCGCCCTAACACTCGCACTCGCACTCGCACACGCGTTAACGACAAACCTCTCCCGAACCCTAAATTGAAGAAGGCGGAACCGGTGCCGGTGTTGCTCTCTGGCGGCGAACCCACCACCTACACTCGTCTCCCACTCAGAGATGATTATTCATCTCCTTCCACTTCTTCTTCCTCTTCCTCTTACGAAATCAAACTCTCCGATTCAATTAACCAACTTCTCCGCAACGAACTACAACAAAACGAACAACAACAGGAACAACGACGACGACGAAAACAACAACAACAAGAAGAAGAAGTTGTCGATGATGGAGACTACTTCGAAGGCAATGACGATTCTGAATTTGAATCTGAATCTGAAGGCGATGATGAAGGTGCAGAGCTTTTCAGCGGTGAATCCGACGGCGAGGTGAAGGAGAAGGGGGTGCCGGCGGTGATGCGGTGTTTCGACCGTGCCAAGATTTACGTGAAGGCCGGGGATGGTGGTAAGGGCGTGGTGGCTTTCCGGCGGGAGAAGTACGTTCCTGAGGGGGGGCCGTCCGGGGGCGACGGAGGGAGAGGTGGTGAGGTGTATATTGAAGTTGATGGGTCGATGAATTCATTGTTGCCGTTTCGGAACTGCATGCATTTCCGGGCAGAGAAAGGTTCCAATGGTCAGGGGAGGTTGCAGGATGGTGCCAGGGGAGAAGATATGGTGGTGAAGGTGCCTCCAGGCACAGTGATCAGGGATGGTGGTCATGATAATGTGTTGTTGGAGATGGTGTATCCTGGTCAGAGAGCATTGCTGTTGCCAGGTGGAAGAGGTGGCAGAGGGAATGCTTCATTCAAGACTGGGAATAATAAGGTCCCTAGGATTGCTGAGAATGGTGAAGAGGGTGTAGAAATGTAAGTGAGTGAGTGAGTGAGTGGGATAATGAGTTTTGTTGTGTTTGTTTTGTGCTTCAAAATTGACAGACTAAGAATGATGTGTATCTTTTGAATGATCAGGTGGTTGGAGTTGGAACTCAAGCTTGTTGCTGATGTTGGTATAGTTGGTGCCCCAAATGCAGGGAAAAGCACGCTTTTGAGTGTTGTTAGTGCTGCAAAGCCGGAGGTGGCAAGTTATCCCTTTACCACTCTGCTTCCTAATCTGGGTGTTGTTTCCTTTGACTATGATTCAACAATGGTGGTGGCAGATCTTCCTGGTCTACTTGAAGGAGCTCACCGAGGTTTTGGTTTGGGTCACGAGTTTCTGAGACACACTGAAAGGTGTTCTGCCTTGGTAGGCACTTTTGATCAAGATGATATCAATGTTTTTTGTTCTGCTTTATTTAGTTAGGCATACCGGATAAGGCTCCACTAAAGTGTGATTGTTTTTAAAGTGAATAAGAGTGAATCCATTCTTACATTAATTTAAAGTATATCATGGTCTTTAACACACTAAAAGTCGATGGTGGATACATTACACTCTTACTTGCTGATCTTAGAGGAGCTTTTTCCAGACTTACCTAGCTTACATTTAAGAAACGTCAATTCTGCGGAGCTACATTCAATTATAGAGTTACCACACTGCTCCTCTGGGGAAGAAAACAAAATAGGATTAAATTATATGTATTTCCTTTTCTTTTCTTTTTTAAATGTATTTAAGACATCATTGGCTGTTTTTCTAAAAATTATTCTTTTAGAGATGCTTAAATCATCTATATTTTGCCCACTCCAACCTTTTGATCCTCTTTCTGCCTATGTCAATTCTGTTTAAAATAGATTGAGTAAAATTTCAGCTTGTTTGCTTATCTGAGCTTATAGAATCTTTTAGCATCCATTATCTTACCTTTTCTTTTTTCTGTTTGTGTATCTACCTTATATCTCTCTAAATCAATCATTAGTGGATTGTGAATTTTGAAACTTTCCATATATCTGAAATATCTTTATGTTGAATTTTACATTTGCAGTTGACCCAAAGAATGATTGATCAATTGGTCATCCATTAATTTGAACATTGTCCATCTATGTAGAATATATATGTATGACTTTTTTCTCTGTTTGAAATTTCCATTCTTGGTGTATGGTATTGATAAACATGCTATTTCAAAGTATAGCAATTTGATATTTTTCTTGTTTGCTTTTCCTTTTTGTCCCTTTAAAAATTGATGTTTAAAACTTGCCTCTCTATTTGGTTTCAGGTACATATTGTTGATGGTTCATCACAGCAGCCTGATCTTGAGTTTGATGCAGTTCGTCTAGAGCTGAAGCTGTTTAATCCTGAACTTGCTGAGAAGCCTTATGTAGTTGCTTATAACAAAATGGATCTTCCAGAAGCATATGAAAAGTGGGAATCCTTCAAAGAAAAGTTGCAATCTCGTGGGATCACACCTTTTTGTATGAGCGCAATCAAAAGGGAAGGTACTCATGAAGTTATCTGTGCTGCTTATGAGCTTTTGCGCAGAAGTAAAGAAGACAAGGAGGAATATGAAGGTTATAATTTGTTTTACACTTATTTTGAATATTATTGTCATATCATCAGTTACTTCTGTATACACTTTTTTCTCTCTAATAAGTTCTTTCATTTGAACAAATTTGACCTGTTTCAGATGGAAGAGATATGGTAGACTTGAACCATGTGGCTGATGCAGTACAGAAGCAACGAAGTGCATCCATTAGTGATTTTGAGATTTTTCGTGACGGGGATACAAATATTTGGCATGTGGTTGGATCTGGATTGCAACGTTTTATCCAGATGACAAATTGGCGGTAGGTTAAAGAGTAAAAACGTGATCTAGAATACAATTCCTTACTATGATTTTTTTTAGTTGTCATTGATGTCGGTTAATCTTAAACATACTTTACTTATTAAGGTCTAAGTGTAATTTCAAATCACATTTAACGAATAAAGTGCTGAAATCATTATCCTGCATTTATTCTGTATTTGTTTACAAAACCATTTATGATCAGGCTAGGACATTTCTTCAGCTTCCTGAAGGTTCTTGCATTGATTTTTAAACTTTACATGAAAGATGCCAAAACTAGAAAATCACTCTTTTAATCATAAGAAACTCCATGCAAGAACCTTTCTAGAATATTGTGACGAAATATGAAGATTGTAAGCTTCATCCTCTTAATTGATTATTGATATGTGTTGGAAAAAATGCATATTAGGATGCGCATCATGCTTGAAATTGCAACTCTTGTTCATGGCTAGTCTCATGGAAACTAGTGCATCTTTTAACAGGTACGTTGATTCAGAGATAAGGTTCCAGCATGTTCTTGAGGCTTGTGGTGTGTTTAAGTCTCTCATGAAACTTGGTGTAAAGGAAGGCGACAAAGTGATTGTTGGAGAGGTGTGTCTTTTGTTTCTCTTCAGCATTTTTAATCCTTGCTAGAATGACAAATGAAGATGTTAGCATATGGTTGATTTACTGAATGATGTTTAGTTCTCATTATCTGCTTCAGATTCCCCTGAAATGATGTGTCCTTAAATGTGGGGCGCTATTGAACCCTACTTTCTATGACCTCAAGAACAAGTGAACAACCTGGAAACATCATCTATCAGCTGAAACCAAAAAAACTTTTTTTGAATTTTTCTTAAATATATCCTTATACAGTCCTTCTTAGAGCTTCTTCTACAATATTTTGTGTCATTTCTATAATGCATACCCAATGACAATTTGTTCTGCTACTTATCAGATGGAGATGATATGGCATGACTCCTCAGACAATTTTGGTGTATCAAGGATGAAGAAAATATCCACAAATTCAATTAAATGGCCTGAATTTAAGTAGTCCCACTCTATTCCGGTGCTTCTAGATTCATCTTTAGTGCAACTATCTCATAGGTAAGGAGAATCTTATGCAATAATGGTTTGGTTCTTTGCTATCACCATGAAATTTGGCAATAATCTAATTGAATATAGTTGTGGCTTTTACCATGGTTTCCCCTATTACTGAGTGGATAATATTTTCCTGAAACATCTGTGCCTAATGGCACCTGTAACAGCCAAATAAAGAGGTGACAGCTTATTTTTTTGGTTCAATATTTATGTGTTTTGGGATATAATAATCATCAACGCCACTGTTGTAGTAGTTGACAATATTTTCAAACATTTGAATTTTATCTTTTTGTGACTTTGTGAAATATCGTGATTTTAAATAGGGTAGCCTTCATGAAATTTATGTTTACTGCTCTTTGATTAGCTGCAGTTCATGCAGGAAGCTAATTCAGTCAAAAGGAGATGATATTGAAGAGGATAAAAATCGTGAGAAGCTGCCTCAGAAAGAGTAAGGGTAAAGCATGCTAATTACATGCCTGACGTGTGATGGTATGATGCTGGTGCATTTACGATTTCAAATTCTTTTATTCAACTGGAAGCTGAGGTCCTCTTCAACTGAGTTAGGTTAGATACAGTCGTAAAGGTGCACATCCAGCATCATTTGTTGGCTTAAATTGGTTTAAAACAGATAAATTGCCTATGTAATTCTATAATGATGTGTTAGAAACGAATTTGTAATAGGATGTAAAATGTCTAATATGATTACATCATTATTTTTGACACACTGCTCTCATGTGGATTGGATAATTTGATAAAATTATAGTGGAGGTCAAATTTCAAGTTTCACATGAAGTCAACATAAAAGCGACTGGATTGAAATTGTTATATTTTATTGAGTAAAGTCTCTTTTGGGTCCCTAATAAAAAACATGGTCCCTTACAAAAAAAAAAAAAAAAACCTATATTAATCCTTTTTTAGGGACTAAATTGGGTCTTTATTGAATTTCAGAGGAATCACATTTTCAAAGAACTGGAATTGTAGAAGAACCAAAAATTGATTTTTTTTGTAAGAGATAAAAATAGGAACCATATTTTTTGTTAGGGACTTAGAAGAGTCTTTACTCTATTTTATTTTGAGAGTGTTAGTAGCTTTTTATTTTGTCTTGTAAACTGTAATATTTTTTAGAGACGGTCCTAATATTATAGAGAATAAAGAAGTTAATGATAGTAGGTGAAAAATCTGTGAACCCTAGCAATGTATCTCATGCACAGTAGACATCCTCTTTTTATCGGGGTGTTAAAGGATCTTCTTCCTTTCTTTACTTTATCAGAGTATTAAACAGCCTCCGTCCCATAGTTATTAATGTCGATATGTTGCATCCTAAGCTAATAGGTCTAGGCCATGTTTGAATGTCTCGTGTCTATCAATCGTCAGAAACCATCCTTTTGTGTAATGACTTCAAGGGTTTCCCCCCCCCCCCCCTTAACTACAGAGGGATATTGATAGTTGAAATCACCATTAAATTGCAACTAAACTAATATGATGATTCTCCAGATTCTGTTTGGAATGGAATGACAACTGAAAAGGACCAGTTTCTCAATCTCCCCTCTCCGTGCCTCCTGCATTCTCGTGAAATTTGTATGTCATCGTAATAATTAGAGAGATGCTATATGCACGTACAAAATTTTATACATTCCTAGGGAAGAAAGTTATATTTACAATTTTTTTTATTTACAAATTCTTACAAATTACACTGTATCTCAACGGCAAGGCACTATTGAGTGAAGTTTGTAAAATTGTAAAAAAAAAATGTTTGTCGATACAGCTTTTCCCCTTCTCAAATAATGTATTTGGAAAGATGTCCCTGAAACAAACAAGAGCAGAAGTTAGAGGAGTTATGGAAGTTGGTATAAAAGGTGTCGTATGTGCATTAACTTCGTCTTACCATTCTATTATACGGGTACCATAATATCATTATGTACATCTTAGTTCATGTCTATTGATAATTTTACTAAATTTAAATTTAATTAAAAGTTTGTTAAGCATAAATTAAAATTTTCTCAGTCTATTATACTAAGGTGCTTATGTGATATTAGATATAGCTTTTTGGATTTCTTAAAACGTTTTAGTTCATGCTGTTATTTTAAGCGTAATACACGTTTTTTCTGATTGGGTATTTTAATAGGCATTAAAGACTAGGTCCTTCAGTTCTTCATTTTTCTCATATGAAACAAGTTCTATCTCATGATAGTGAAGACGAAGGATTGATTTTTCTAATTACTCATCGTTCTCTTCTCTTCTCCCTTTCTTTCTTCTATTTAATTTCCTTAGCATCACTAAGATAAAAAGATTTAATAGGGTGCCATTGGCATGTATTTGTGGTGGTCATGAACGTAGATACAAAACACTTAGGAACATTAATCAAATAAAGCGAAAAAAGGATGGGTTCCAAAAGCAGAAAGACAGATTGTTTGGTTGCAAAGTGGGAGGACATAAGTGTGGTGTTTGAACAGATAGGAGCTGAAGCAGCTAGAGCCAACATGGGAATAAGTTTGAACCAAAAGTTGCTTACTGAATCATTTGTCACTTACTTAAACTCCATTGGTCTAATTTTCGTCAAAGTCCAAGTAAACATATTTATCATTTTCCCTAAATGCCGGAGGACCTTTAAAACTAACAAAAAGTGTGTGCCAGTTTTGGAGAATGTGCAAAATTCTCTTCTTACCATAAAAGTTACCCGCTAAAAACCACAAGAAATGAGATATTTTATGGTGTTTTTAGACAGTTGGACTTAAAATAAACATTAATACCACATAATGTGTTACCTTAATTATAATATTAAAATGTAGTTAAAACCAGTGATAATCCACATAACTGAAGCGATTCACGTTGAATCATATAAAATAAGATGTTTTTCTTACACGTAAAAATATGTCCTTAGAGAAACGTATAAAAAGAAAGAGAAAAAAAAAAAAAGTATTGAGAAAAATAGAGAGACGGAGAAAGCTCACTTTTATGCTTTGTTTGGCCATTATGGAAGAAACCCATCTATTTTAGGGATATGTAAAGTACCTCGTCAAAATGTGCATCATTGCCAACTCAACTCACATCTTTTGAGATGTACCTTGACTAACCTTTCTTCTTTAGATTTCTAAAACCTTCCGTACCAAGAATGGAAATACATTCATTCATCTCTTAGATTACATTCATATAAAAAGAATTGTCTCTTTTTTTTTTTTTTTTTTTTTTTAATTGATGGGCTTCATTTTATTTGTCTCACAACATAAGATAACTTTTCTTCTACTATACGAGAGGGTATAGCTCTCTCTCTATATGTATATATAGGGAAAATGTAACCCTTTGATTTACTTGCAAAGTTTTTCTTTTTTTAATAAATATAAGGTCCACCGTTAGTTAAGTCGCAATATGAAAAAACAATTTTCATGCAACGTGAGAAAATCAAAGCCCATATATAAGGCTTATTGTTTCTCAAGCTGTTTGAAATAACTTTATCTCTGGCTATTAAATCATAACCGTATAAAGATGGATCAATGATAATAAAGGAAGAGAGAGAAAGAGAGAATTATAACCATTCAAAAGTAAATCAATTAATATAAGAAAATAAATAAACTCTAAATATATCTCAGGCTACTTGATATATATATATATATATATATATATATATATATATATATATATATATATAGAGGTAGGATCCTTTGACACCAGTGTCAAATTTAAAGTTTTACACATCATTTGAAAGCCGTTAGATCAAAAAAGATCAATGGTGTCACATTCTTACAAATCAGAGTCGTTGATCTTTTTTGATCTAACGGCTCTCAGATGAGGTGTCAAAATTGAAATTTGACACAGTGTCAGGATCCTACCTCTATATATATTATATATATTTTAGTTCTTTCGTGCTTTGAACTAGCAAACAACAAAAGCTCCCCATGAAAAATTAAGATGGCTAGAAGAAAACTCCATGCTTATTTCTTCATTTTTGAATTTATGTATTTCCATATTCTCGGTTTGTCTTGGTACAGGAAGAACATTATGATACCAATATGATTCCTTTCACATGGGGTCCCAATTGTAGCTAACATATCTCTATCTTTCGGCTGCTTGAAATCTTTAGTGGAAGAGTCAAGGGTCTAAGAGTCCATTCTTAAGAAACACAAATGATTAATTAATCAAACAACTGTAATTGAGCCTTTTGTGATCTCTCTCTCATTTTGGTCTCCTATTTTAGTGGGTTCTTTGTAAGTTTACATGCGCCAACATGCTATATTACTAATGGCAAAGCATTGTGCAGCACTGGGAAATATGCTAAAAACAACAAAACGGTTTGACCCATTTGATATGATTAGTAGCATGCTATTTCCAATGCTATATAGAATGACATAGCAGGCTAATTAAAAGAGAGTAAAATTATACTTTTAAGAGCTGTGAATCAATAAAAGTGTGGCCCACTATAGCTTTTGTTTTATGGGGCGGTTTAGTCCACTTCAATTTGCATGCTTTGTTTAAGCTTTTCATTGCCCTTTTTGACTATACCATTTTTCTATTGGCTTTTGGATATCAGTACTGTTGTCTCTCATTATCAGGGGAGAGTGACCATTTTGTCACGTTTGGACAAAAAAATTACCAGACTGCCACTCCAATAGTAAATTTTGCCAAAATGCCACGCGGCATAATTCGCTACACAGTGTAGCGAATTATGTATGCAAGTAATTCGCTACACAGTGTAGCGAAATATGCCACGTCAGAGCCAAAAATGCCACATGTCAAATTTTGCAAAATTCGCTACCCTATGTAGCGAATTTTGCAAAATTTGACATGTGGCATTTTTGGTTCTGTGCGTTCTGACGTAGCATATTTCGCTACACTGTGTAGCGAATTACTTGCATACATAATTCGCTACACTGTGTAGCGAATTATGCCGCGTAGTATTTTGGCAAAATTTACTGTTAGTGTGGCAGTCTGGTAAATTTTTTGTCCAAACGTGGCACTTTGGTCACTATTCCCATTATCAGACTTTGTTGAAAATTGCTCAAAGGTGATAGGTATACCTAGAAGGCAATTTGCAGGGAGCATGTATTCAGTGTTTTTGTTATCTGTTTTGTGTCATGAACAATTTTTATTTTATTTTTTTCATTTACTTTCTAGCCCTTAAATACTTTGCAGGGTACATTCATAATGTTGTGTTAGTCCAAAGTCTAGTCATGGCTACTACCAAAATTTGATTAAAATCTTTAAATGAAACTGAACATATTGGAATGCAAAATTGGATTTGTGCTTGAAAGATCTGAAACATGAGCGCAATGATCAAGTTTTAAATGAAGCTAAACTCTGCTGGAAATTATAAAGGTTTTTTTGGCATGAAGGAGATAGTTACAATAGAATCTGATCTTAAGCGTTCATCAAAGAGCTTAGGGGTTAGGTTGAGTTGTTGTTTGACACTCTTTCATGAACCAACTTCATCACTGAACAAGGCTTTTGAGCATAGATAGTGAAGAGCTAAGACCTCAGTCAACTAGTACCACTAGTTCTTTCTGCATAAGATATTAACCCATATACTAGAATTGAAAATTCTACCATTGACATGTGAAGCATACATGGAACAAACAAAAATAAGAATTTAACTAGTGGGTCTTTCTAAGAATAACCTTTTCTATATTTGTATTCTAGTGTGGGGTTGTTTCCATGATAGGGAAGACTCATACAATATCTAATTCTTGGATAATTTTCTGTCTGACACCCTTTGAAAAAATCATGAAGCAAACAAGAGCTCCCTATGTAATTGGTTGATTATTTTGCATAAAAGGATTCACATGTGCATATTACATGCAGCTGGTGAATGGCATGCTTAGTACCTTCAATTTCAAAGGTTTGAGACAATCAAGGAGAATGCCGACAAAACCATGCAGTTGTTTTTCTTTTCTGGTCTCCCCTCGGATTGATACCAGCATAATAATATTTCATTTATACCAATTATTCAGTCACCAAGGAAAGTTCTCCGAAGATGGCACTAAATTATTTTCTCAAAACCAAACTTTGTCAGGTCAATATTTATCAGGTTCAGGTGAAAAATAAAGGTAGAGACTTTATGCTAGATTTCTGTATTCATATATAACAAATTACAATAGTAGTTTATAGGGTCAAGCCCTTTTTTTGTGGTGTATTAGTATGTGTCTTTTTCACGATTGTCTCTTGTATTGAAAAGAACAAAATAGAGTTTACCTGACAGATTTCCAGGTAGTTTATTGATTAGCTTGGTCTTTACACATGAATTGATACACATAAATATTCAATTTTGTCAATCCTTATCAAATCCCATTACCTTGCATGTACCAGATGCAAGAATGGGCTCACTAAGCTTTACATTGTTACCGAGTTCAAAAACTAAAGTAATAGAACTATTTTTTAACCTACTAAATCTGTTCTTGTGCTTATTACTAAGTTACAGAAGACACATTTTTTAAGTATCATTGGAACTATGGAGAAAGTGTCTTATGCAAAGAAATAAAAACTCAAAGTGCAGTTTGTAGAGAGCTCCATTTAAAGTATTTGACAAGTTAAGGGAATCTTTACTTTCACTGTTTAGTTCAACTCTGAAGTAAATAGGATGGAGGGTTAGATATTTAATACAAAAAATAAAAATAAAAATAAAAAAGATTTAAAATGTAGGTGAAAAGGGGAGAATGGTTTTTTATAAAAATGACATCTGCAAAATGTCCTTTTCCTTCTCTCCATGATCAAGTCACAGTCTTTAAAAGACTTCCCACAACTTCACTCATTCATAACCTTCACTGCTCCTACCTTCTGCACTCCCATTCTGTTATATGCTCCCTTCACTTGGCACCATTTAACTTCCCTTAGCTAGCTTACAGTTTCTCAGCTCATCCAACACACATTTTCTTAACCATGTCCACCTCTAGAACCTCAAATGCTTCCCTCAAAGGATATGAACCAAATCAAACCCAAATGAATTTATCTCTTCTTCAACTCAATACATCTCCTTCTGGTGAGAGAAAAGGCCAAAGAAAACAAGCAGAGCCAGGAAGGTTTCTTGGGGTAAGGAGGCGCCCTTGGGGTCGATATGCTGCTGAAATTAGAGACCCTACAACTAAAGAAAGACATTGGCTTGGAACATTTGACACTGCTCAAGAAGCTGCTCTTGCTTATGACAAAGCTGCTTTGTCCATGAAAGGCAACCAAGCAAGAACCAACTTCATATACTCTGATGATACCAATTTTCATAACGTTCTTACTCCTAAAGATGTTCAAGCTCTCTTACCAGCTTCACAGTTCCTCACTAACACTCAGAAACCACAACCAACCAATCAAAATAGCCTCTCTCAGCTTGGTTCTTCCCACATTGAAAACCCCTCTCACTTGAACAATGACATGTGTTCTGAAACTGCACATGGGTCACCTCAGGATGATAATTTCTTCTTCTCCAATGATTCTAACTCAGGCTATCTGGAATGCATAGTTCCTGATAATTGTTTCAGACCTGTTTCCACTACCAACAGTTCAAGCAGCAGGAAGAGCAATGCAAGTGCTTCAAGCTATCACCAAAAGGTTAGCTCCATTAACACAAGCACCATGGAGGGTCAATCACATTTTGACAACACTGCATTCTCTCAAGAAGCCTTAAACATGCAAACAATGGCCTTTAACTTTGCAGATTTTTCTTACCCAAGTGAACTTAGTCAAGGATTATGGGGTAATCAACAATCATGGGATTGCAATTCCAGTGAACTGTCAGCTATGTTTAACAATCCATTAAGGATTGAAGATGGGTGCATGGATGCATCATGTCCCATCAATGACAGTCCAAGCTATGGGCTAATGACTCAGGCTGTTTCTTCAACTACATGTTCTCCATCACTTCCTCCTTTTGAGGATGCATGTTGAATTGGGATACCCACTCTTCTGAGCTTTTTCATTGAGGTACCTTTATGAAGGGGTGCCTTGTGTACTTGCATGCACTTTGGGGGACAATGACCATACTGCCACTTTTTAGGTAAAATTTTACCTGATTGCCACTTTTGAAAAAATTTTTGCCAAAATGCCACGCCTGAATCCCGCTTGTCAGACTGGACACGTGTCAGCGTCTGAATGGTGAACCATTCTCGCTGGGCTGCCCAGCTAGAATGACAGAATGCTGACACGTGGCAAAAGCACAGGCATTGAACCATTCAGACGCTAACACGTGTCCAGTCCATTCCCGCTTGTCAGATCAGCGAGATTCAGGCGTGGCATTTTGGCAATTTTTTTTTCAGAAGTGGCAATCAGGTAAATTTTTATTAAAGGAGTGGCAATATGATCAATGTCCCGCACATTGGTACGTCTGTCTTGTAACTTAAGTTCTAGGAAGTGGGAAATTTTTTCTTCTACTAATGTAATCACTAAATTACACATATGGGGCAAGCTCTTTTGGTTCTCTAGTTCACATCAAGGAAAGTCAATTTTGTGATACTCACCCTTCCTTGCTCATAATATTATTTTTAAAGTTATTTCCTGCAACTTAAAATAATAATGTCATTTCGGGATTCTAAAAAATAATTTTATCAGATAATTTTATTTATTTTTATTATTATAAAATAAATTTCATTTAAACCATACAACTCCAGTAAAAAAAAAATTACTGGATTTATTGAGAAAAGAAAATAAATACAAACTTTATCCAAAATTAAATCATGATATGTAGCTTAAATCCTTGTCCCAAAACAAAACTATTGATTATGATGTATCTTTTACTGTGGCGACCCCCACACACGTACACACAAAAATATATGCTTATATACGGACACATATATGTATTAATAGCATAATTTATTCTTCTTTAAGGGTAGTTGCCTAAACTTTTGGGTACAATAAAGGCAGTAATGCCACAACCACAAGCATCTCGCAAAAGGTTAGGTTCACGGAAAGATATATTGTCAAATGCAATAATAACGATCAATTCTAACGTATTGCTTGTCCTTTTAAATGACACATTTTATATTCTTTCACTTTCTTAAAGAAGTGAGACCCACACCTTTATTTTTATTTTTTGTCAAATCTCTCTCCTCTTTTATCTATCTCTTTCTATTTCTTAAAATGACACAACTTTACCTTCTTTAAAATGACACAACTTTACCTTCTTTAAAATGACACACACTTTTCCCATTGTTTAATAGTACATTCCCTTTAGCTGACTATTTATCGATTAGATAAATGTTTTTGCCTCTTCTTCCTTCTCCCCTTTTTCTATAATTTCCCAACGGTAGCTAGGTTCTAGCTCAAGTTTAATTGTCCAAAGAGATCTATGCTCATTTTAAAGCAATATCATGGTTAGGACTTAGGAACTTAGAAACATGGCAGCCAGGCAGCATAGGAAGTTTAATATGGAGGGAATGTGTCCTTGCTATGTTTCATTTATTCTTTTTTCGCCTTGTGGTTAATAATTTATAAACAGTTAAAATCACTACACATGACTAAATCATATTAAATGAGAGATGAAAGAATATATTCCCTATCTTGGGGGAAACAATGGTGATAAGCACACTTTAAAATAATAATAATTTTTTGAATAACTTTATTTGAAAATGTTTCTCACGAGATTTTCCTAAGTGAAACAGTTGAAACCTTCTGTATAATGATAAGAGGCCAAGAAGGTCTAATTTTTCATTTTATACAATTTAAAGTAGTTGTCTCGTCTTAGGATCTAAAATTAGATTGTACATTAAGCAATAATGCATTAGCAGAGGCTAATCTTAAATTGTTGATGATCAAGCTATATACAGTAGATAGTAGTTTGCTTGGTACTCTGTGTGTCAGATAAGTATTCTTTTGTCCACCAGTACTAAGAAAACAAGCACACTTAATATCGATTCCCCATTCCAAAAACAACAATGATGTTTATTTTTTAACTTTTAAGGAGCAGGATTAGCTGAAATGAAGTAAGCAGCCTCTCCGAATGCTGATCTTGGATCAAAAAATTAATCTAAAAAAGAGTTGGAGCAACTTGAGCTAAACCTCCTTTTCTTATCCCAGAGCATTAATGCAAAACCCAATGATCCAATTATAAAAGTGCAAAACCTCCTTCGTTAATTGAAGAATTGCCACAACTTTCATCATTATGGATCTAGGAAAATATTTCTGACTTAGGTTCTGACTCAGCTCAGAAAAGCTTGGAAAATGCAAAATAATTTTCAAAAACAAAAAATAGTTGGATAAGAGAAGGACTGGTTCAGTGCCTCCCCCATGCTAAGCTCTGAAAGTGAACAGATTCTTACATTCACTACCCACTGCACATGAAGACTTGACCTGAAAATGGCTATTCCTACAAGCCAGGTTTCTTGTCTTTAGAAGACATGCACTAAGCCTTGGCTCTTAATTCCATTGACTGATGCATGCCAAGCTGCACCCTTTTTATCACTTGAGCAGAGTGGTAATCTATTTATAATACAATCATCTTACAACAAACATCAAATTCGGTCAAGGGGGGAGGGGGTGACAAAAATAAAAATTCCCCTCCGGAAAGTTACCTGATCTCACATCAAAGCTTGATCAGGTAAACTGATAGAAAAGGAGAAAAAAGGTTATTACACATTCAAATGTGTTAATTTAAATGTGTTTCTTCATATACGTATTCTGTAATAAATTTAAGTATCAAGTCATGCTTTTCATTGTCACAACACCACCGTGTATCTAAAACCATATAAGATAGCAATGTGAAGCCTCATTGTACTCTCCTGATTACTTCTCTTCACAGTAAACCCTAGATACAAGTTGGAAAAAGTACTGATGAGGACTATCGAAGCAGAAATGGAAAATTGTTCCCAAATTCAAAAAGGGTTCAGGTGAAGAGACATTATCACATGGTCAATGAAAGTCTGGACAGAATTTTCTCTTACCAAAAAAGATTGGAGCATAAATAATCACAACAAACTCCAAAAATTGGAGATGTGGATGGACATGTGCATAATGGACTTGCAGAGTCCTTTGGAGTTATTCAATAGCAAGGTGGTTGTATGGGTTGCTAAAATTCTCAAGGTTGGCCATTGTTTATTCAAGATCAAAGGGATGGCCACAAAAAGATTATATGAACATAAAGATAATTGGTGTGAAGTGTGGAACTGAACGTGGAACTTGGATATCTTAAAAAAAAAAAAAAAAAAAACCTATTTGAGGACCTCCTTGAATAATGATGTCTGGTTGAAGAATTGAGATAAAAAGGAGAAATGATGAGGTATGCATTCACATTGCTTAGCTCTAGGTGTGAGAGACATTGCTATTTGTGGTGGTAATGGCCGCTGCTGAAGGACTGGAACTCTGAGCAGATGGTTGAGTGCTTGATTGAGAAACAGATCCACCAGTCGACAAAGTCAAGCCAATTGATGAGGATATTCTGGATGAGACAGACTCCATGCTAGATCCTGACATAAGTTCGGGCCGCAATTCTGATGATGAAGATGACAGAGCAAGAGTGCCAATTGATGAACCCACAGGATAGGGTGCAACCGGCATGTCAGCCAGTGAAGAAGCAGATGGACAATAACTCAGAGATCCCATAGGATGATCAAATTTGCAAGCAGGACCGAACTTACATACTCCACGCTGTGCATAATGAGTGCAAAGTCGTTCCCCCTGATAACAAGCACAAACATTGATGCTTGATGAGCAAGAAAGCAGCCAAAAAATATATTTGAAAAACATTCCAATTGAACATACAAACTTATTATTGCCAAATGCTAGTTCTTTCAACAAATAGAGTGACAAATGAAATTAACATACAGCAAGAAACTTTCTGTGAACCAAGGCCCAATGAAAAACGCTAATGCATGAAGAAGAGAGACAGCAACAACAGCTGAAAGGAAACAATGAAGACTAGTTTATCATGTTTGGAAATAGCCACATTCAAGAAAACGAGGAAGCACTCCTAATCTGTCTATAATATGAAAAACTAGAAGAACTACTAACCTAAAATCCCAGGAAGGAATCAAGGAGACAAAAAAAATTACCCATGAATTTTTTTTTGAACAACTCAAGCTAGTATGGGAACAAAGGATTGAGAAACAAAACATATGACCGAGCAGAGGAGAACCCTCTACTCTAAACAAAGAAACATGAAGCACTAGGTGTTCCTACTCATGGAGCAACCAACTCCGTATAAAACCCAAATAATACACGTATAATTCTTGCATAAAGGCTTCATATTTGACCTAAAAGGCATTCCATGGCAGAAATAAAATTCAGATATACAAATAAGGTAAAGAATGTGGAATGCTCAAACAGCTCTTAAGTTTTACGGATAAAAAATAAACAAGTATAAATGGAAATTAAGTTGGAGATCACATACGCAAATCTAGATCAGATAAGGAAAACAGAAATGCCATGCAAAATGCTTAAGGTGAAATAAATTATGGTGCAAATAAAAACACAATGAGGAAAAAGGACATGAAAATCAATGACTATTAAAATTTAGATAATAAAGAAAAGAGAATGAAATGATGTTCATTGAAAACTATTGAAACATGATGAAACATACATACCCTACAAACCGTTAAAACACTTCCTTCAAGGAAATCGAGTAACGGACTGCTAGAAAACCATTAGGAGAAACTATTAAAAAAAGAGCTTTCTAAATGGTTTTAATGAAAATTTGGTTTTTGATTGATCCATGTAGCAGACTCTACCTAGTGGGATAAGACTTAGTTGTTAGGTAACTAAATGCAACAAAATATTAATAAAAAGTTATTGGGACTTATATCGGCTAATTTAGGGATCGTTGGTTGTTGACATGCTAGCCTAAGCCTCTTCAACCAATTTTTTAAGAGTTGGTCCTTGCCATAGTTATCAAATGCGGGTAACGGGCATTAGCAGCCAACCCCCGAAAACACTAAAGAGCTATAGCGGTATAGTGCAACAGCAAAGTCCAATGCATGAACCTAATATATAGGTATACCACACATATAAATGCTAAAAAATAAAGACATTCATTCATAGTTAAATATATCATCACAATCATTTCAAATAAGGAATCTAAATATTGTCAATTACAAGGATCAACAGAATTAGCTGAGTTGGCCAAGTTTTCAAAAGTCAAAACCAATAATGTGGATAAGAATTGGAATAAAAAAGAAGCAGAACCAACATAATTGGAAAAGGAAGGGAACGAGGAACCTATCAACTTCTATCATGATGTAGATAATGAAAGCTTGAGATAAGCTAAGTACGATCCTCACGCATCATTTTCTATGGGATCAATGCTTCTTAACTTGAATACATAACATCTTAAGAAAAATAAAGCACATTTTTGCAAGCATGGGAATTAAAAGAAAAGAAAGAAAAACAAGACTACAAACCTAGAGGTGGTTGAAATAAGAAGCTGATCAGAAAAATGGGTTGGAGAACAAAGAAACCGTGCAAGGTTACAACAGAACACTGACCTCTGAAAAGGCTTGGAACAGGGTTGATGGGTAAAGAAAAAAGAGTTGATGAGGTGGAAGTTGATGAGAACAAATCACTAGTCGCCATCCACCGAAAGTGAATGGGCTCGTCTAACACTGAGATTCAAGAGTGATAGAGGGAGCTTTCTGGTCAACAAGGTTGAGAGTTGACGCAAAAAGAGAGTCAAGAGATACAAATTAAAAATTGGGGTTAAAAATCCATTTAACCCTTTTAATATGACTGTTGAGACACCAAATTGAGGACAAACCCCTTCCCTGTAGGGGCACTATTACACTGCAAACTGCTACTATGAATCATAGCGAGGCGTAGCGACGGTACCTACTACTGTCGTGCTATAGTGTGGAATTGCGGCATGATTAATAACTATGTTTCAGAGTAATTAATTTTTATTTATTTATTCACTAAAAAGGTAAAGCCAATAAATGCTAATGCTAATTGATAATAATAAGGACTAATTGATATTGTAAAGAACCAATTCACCCAAAAGCTTAAGCTGGTGGGTGAGACTATATTAATAGTTTTATATATCTCTAATATGTCCCCTCACACAAGAGCCCACTGGGCTTGAAGGGTGGACAATGCACACACCCATCTACCTGTGCTAAGAAATTCCACAAGAGAAAGCGGGATGCAGTGAGGATCGAACCTAGGACATGAGGCTCTGATACATGTAAAGAACCAATTCACCCAGAAGCTTAAGCTGGTAGGTGAGGTTATATTAATGGTTTTATATATCTCTAACAAATATCATCAATTTAATTATTTTATTAATGTTAATTGAAATGCTTAAAAAAGGTAAAGCCAGTAAATGCTAATTCTGATTGATACTAATCAGGATTAATTAATAACAACCTAATCATTTTATTAATGTAAGCTAGTAAATGCTAATTTGTTATCACATCACGACCTTGGCACCTAACATTCCTTCCCTTATTAAGATGTGACTTTTGTCCTCAAATTGAGAGGCGGCCTATGAATGGGTTAGGTGGATCTCGTTTTACAAACTCGAGCGGTAGCGAGTAGTCCTCCATGAAGGAAAGACCCTTCAAATATATAAAGGTTAGGCTTTTACATTGATGCTCATAGAGGAACTTCTCATGGCAGTTGAAGCAAAGTCCTTTGTCACATCATGACTGCATCTCTTCCTCTGTCAGGCGTTTGATAGGAAGCTGTGTGACAAGAGATTGGGAGGCGACAAGAGTTGCCAATGGCGGCAGTTGAAATGGCATGCGAATGCATCATGCAAGTCCACATGCCGATGAGCTTGAGCTACCATGCACACTCATGGTTGCAAAAAGATAAACCAGTTGTGTAATGCTCTTACAAGAGTCCACGGACCTAGTTGGCAAGGTTCTCAAAGGCAACTTGGTAATTGAGGAAAAAGCCAATTTGAGATAGCTATGCAAGGAATGCAGTGGGATGTTCATACTCGAAGGGACCAGAGCAGCAACGAAAGGCTCGAACAAATGCCTCCCAATTGGGCAGAAGATTATCATCCACCAGACCTTGGTACCAAGTGGCCACAAGTGCATTGAGATGCATCATGGTCAAAAGTAGTTGATCCTCTTGGTGTGTTATAATATTGAAAATAGTGCTCCACATTGAAATGCCAAACAACTGAGTCACCTAGGGAGAAATATGGAAACGTGAGGTGGAGGGTATGCCTATGCAATGGCGTGGTATGCAAAGGTGTGGGCTTGTGTGGAGCAAGGCCAAGGATGCCCAAAGCTAGATCAGATGACAATGGTGGTTGTGTTGGTAGCTCCTGTCGGAGAGCGGTAAAGAGATGTTGCTCATGTTTGTCCAATAATGCCACAAGAGTTTATGTCGTAAGTTGGTTGACTTGAGAGTCCAAGAAATCCTAACATAACTATTTCCCTGGCTAGTTGTTCAACCGCTTGGACTCGATCATTGCGCTCTTGAGAATAGGTTGTTGGAATGGTGGAGGCAGGAGTCCATAAAGCATGAGTTATTAAAGGGTAATTCTATAGTTGGCCGAATTGTAAAGAGAGAAGACATAGAAGAAGGGAGAGGTGAGAATGAAATTGATTGGGAGAAAGAGAAGAGAATCCGAGAATTATTGGAATGAAGTAATTTTCTTCTTGTCTATTCCATTAAGCCATGAAGCCTTTTTTAACAAGTATTTGAAATACTAAAAAGGTAAAGTCAATAAATACTAATTCTAATTGATACCAATCAGAACTAATTGATATTTGATATCAATCTAATCCTTTTAATAATGTTAGTTGAAATGCTAAAAAAAGTAAAGCCAATAAATGCTAATGTTGATTGATACTAATCAGGATTAATTGATAACAACCTAATCCTTTTACATATGGAAGGTAATAAATGCTAATTTGATATCATGTGATTCCCTGGGTGCCTAACATAGTCGAGTCGTTGACTAAATCCTCTTGATAGAGATTAAAAAATCACTAATGTATTGTACTTTATTTCTTTGGACAAATTTTTGATTCGAAGATTTAGCTTGTATAAACCATTATTGGTCAAACACCCATAACGTAAGCCGTTTCGGTAAGGGTATACATATATATATATGTATTGATTAGATAATAAATGAATCAACAAAATGGTCGAACAATTATGCTTGGATTGTCTAGATTCTCAACCAACTGGCAGCAGAAAGTCTAATGGCATCAATGGAAAAGCATTAGGTGTGATCCGACCACTACCACCATTTATGGCCATTCTAGCAATGAGAATTCCTGGTCACATTCCACAAAAATCCACATCTTTGAACACCACGCCAATGCATGGACATCCACCTTATGTTCTCGTGTTTTCCCTTGAGTGACCCGACTGTATTACTTTCCAACGTGCAACACTATTTTCAGTATTATAACACACCCGAAAGATTGATTGTTTCTAACCTCAATACATCTCGATGCACCTGTGGTTACTCGATATCAAGGTTTGGCGACTGATAACCTCCCTACCCAATTGGAACGCTTTTGTTTTCCCCATTCGTCGCCACTATGGTCCCTCAGAGTATGAGATCCCATTGTCTTTCTCTCCATGCTGTCTTAGATTGGCTCCGTCCTTGATTACCAAGCCACCTTCGAGGACCTTGCCATCCACGTTTGTGAACTCTCTCAGGAGCATTTACACAACTTGTTTATCTCTGGCTTGCAACTCTAATTGCGTATGATGGTTCAAGTTCATCGGTATATGGACTTACATGGCACATTCATGTAGGCATGCGAATATGAGTCTAAGCGAGCCGCACCTCAGCAGCCGGCCATTTCAGTCGCTGCCCTCTACAACACCAAGCCTGGCTTCCCTTACCGCCTTCTAATCCCTTGTCACGCAACTTGCTATCAAACTTCTAATAGCCGATGAGATGTAGGCGGGATGCAACAATGGACTATACATCAACTGAAATGAGAAGTTCGTCCACAGGCATCATTGTTGCTCAAGCCTGTTGAACTGGATTTGACTTAAGGACAAATCGTGTCTCAATGGAGGAAGGAAAGTTAGGCATATCAATTAACATTTACTACCCTCCATTAATAAAAGATTGAATTGGTATCAATTAGTCCTAATTAGTATTTGTTAGCTTCTATTAATCAAATATTGGTATCAATAGATTAGTATATGGAATAGGAAAAGAAAAAATTACTTCCTTCCAATCAATTCTCTCCTCACCTTTCCCTCTCTCATCTTCTCTTGTCATTTCCCTACAATTCTACTCCAAAATTACTCTTAAAAGATGCCCACTCTTTTAATCAAATTAAAAGTTTACCACAAGATTTTGGTGGGCTTGTGCTTTGTTTACTCTCCAACGCCAAAGGTTTTTTGCCTAAAGAGTAAAGAGGTGACTTAAACATTAATATGATCTATATAGTGAATAATAACTTAAATTAATATGATCTATATAGTGAATAATAACTTTTAAGGCGTTACAATTTATTAATAGCTACATAAACACTCTTATCAATAACTTCATAAATACTCTTTCCTTTGTATCCATTTTGAGGACCGTCATAAGATATCTCTTCAGACATGCCAGTGCTGGTGAAAGAAAAAAGAGAGACAAGAAGGGTGGCATGAGGGAGATAGAAGATGTTCTTTGCCTAAACTATACATTATTTTCAAGATCTTGTCTCAGTAAATCTTATATAAATATCTGCATTCTAAACCAGCATAGTCCACATTAAACTACGAGATATGGTAGCTCTCCTGCTTTATTGCTCCACACGCATTGCAACAGACAAAACCCATTTCCTGGCCAAAATCTCTTTCCATATCAAATTTGCTAAAAAATCACGCATATTATAATATTCATTTAGCTATCATTCTAATATACAAGACCAAAAGTCTTCATAAAATGAAAAATAAAGGAGAATAAATTTTAGGTTAGAAAGAAGAACAAAATAAAGACTAAATTGCAGCTATAGTTTGGGTAATATGATTACCAAATGATGGAATGTTAGTCATGCTAAAGAAAAAAAAGATGTGTCTTATATTCTAGAACAATGGATAACATATCAGGTAGTTACTTCTTCCATTTGTGAGGAAGAATTACAAAGAGATATTCTTCAGTCCAATAAAATAGATTATTTTAAGAGAGAGGAGAAAATTCTGGCAAATGCAACTCCCGTAATTAAGTATATATAGCAACATAAAGTAAGGCCCTCAATAAGTTGATGCTAATAATACTATTGTAACAGGCCGAATAGGCAACATAAGATCAATACCCAGTAATCAATGGCATGTTAACACACAGGAGTTCATAAATTTTAATCTGTAGGCAAGCTATTGAAAGGATATATATTTCAAATGATGACAAAGATCTTTCTTTTCATTTCCTTTTCTATTTTTATGATGATTAAAACAGAAAAGATCTTACTCTATTCAATAAAATTTCCTTGTATCAAAAAAATAAAAACTTCCATATATATTGGAAAGATGTATATGCTGGCCAAAAAAGGATAAACATGAAATTCAAAAACTCACTATTGGTGCCAGATCATTATAATATGCAGGACTCCAGAAACTACCTTAAGGAGTACATTAAAGGGAAAACCCCAGTACACAAGGTTCCCCCAACTTTGCGAGGGTAGGGATGAGGGTCAATTGTATGCACCTTACCCTTGCATTTTTGCAAAAAGAGATTGTTTCTCATATTCGAACCTGTGACCTTCCGGTCCCCTTGTACATAAGGGAAAAAAATATAATGTGAGAATTCCCTAGTAATTATGCAAAAGAAACTAATCAGAGGTGCATTGCATTCAAATACAACAGAACATGATCACCTCAACAAGTCCTTATTATGTTTCAGTTTTATCTTACAAACTTTAAAAAGAGTCACAATAAGATTCAACTGTTTATAGTACACAGTATTCCATGCTCTGGCAGAGAACATGTCCACAATGAAAGATTTTGAAGAGGACCTTACTGACAGAATTTACCGGAGTACAATCATAGTGATCAAACTGAAATATTTAACCGAACATACACCTAAAGAAAGGAACAAGATGCACACCTAAATGAATATATGAAAAAAGTGGGAATTCTACTCTCATAAAAGGTACAATCAAATCCAATGTGACACCATTAAACCAACAGTTTTACCTCCATGCTTTCAAATCTTGCCGGAAGAATCTCCAATAAATTAGAGATTAGAGATGTCAGAGTTCAGATATCATCCAACTCTATGACTAAAACATTCATCCACCAGCAATTCCAACATCATTTCATCAAATGGTCATTCAACTAAATTTTAGAGATTGTACAGGTGTGGTATAACCCAACATGAATGCATAACACATGATAAATAAAGACAAAAGCTCACCATCCAAGAAAAATGTTATCTTAAAATAACAATCAAAGCACAAGAGCAAGGAACAATGGCTCCTAGTATGGTTGGTTCTCAAAGATGAATTGAAAATTAGTAAAGCAAGTTTCAAATCCTACATAAAGCTATTGAAAACTAAATGATAAGAAGTCAATTTAATTATGTCTCACAACAGCTATTTTAATCCCTGGAAACTACTACATTTTGTTGGAGAGGGAAGATGGATCAACAACAACAAAGCATTTTTCTACTAGGTCAAAGAGGTTAGACGGATCATGCATATATAATTCAACAATCAATATGAGGTGCCACAGTACAAAAATGTTGAGAGGCAATCATTACCGGTCGCAAAGGAAGACCTGCAGGACTAAGGATCACATTCCCTTTTGGAGCACTCATGTCTGGTGGATGGTGATACCTACATGATGGACCAAATTTACACTCCCCTGTTTTCAAGTAATACTGACATTCTGGTTGATTAGGCCTCTCTGGAAATGACTGCTCCCTCTGAATACTGCCTGAAGGACCAGCTGAGAAACCAGAAGGTTGATAAGGTCCAGTATAGGCAGCTGCTGATGAGGGCAGCTGGGATATCCCATAAAGCTGTGCCGAACCAACATCAGATGGAGTACTAGAAGGAAGGACAGGGCCTGTTCCAGGAGCCTGCACCAAGAGCTCAACAGTCAAGAGCTTCAACGAATGCACATATAACTTGTCTAAGCAGTCAAAAAGAAATGCTTGCCCTACCTGATAAGGACCCCAGCCAGAAAAAGGGACCATGGCAGGGGACAATACCACAGGCCCATAGGGGCTCTGGACTAATGACCCAGGTAGCAGAGGTGGCCTTGCAACCAGAACACCAAATTGCTGTGATGAAGGACCAGATGGAGACTGTACGGTTGGATATAATGGTGAAGGTAATGGTACAGGTAAAGGCGAAACTGGGGGAACTGGCGATGGTGCTGGAATTTGGCTGCCAGCAGGCTGTGGATGATGGAATTTACAAGTTGCGCCAAACTTGCATTGCCCCGTTTTCACATAATAGGAACACTCCTTTTCACCCTGTTAATTGTTATTTATAATTTACAAAAGATAAAGATTCAAATTCAGAGGAAACTATTTCCATAATTAGAAAGTGCAACCCAAAACTCAAAAAACATGCTTAGCTTAATTTTATGCAGTAAATGTAAAGCAATACTGACCGGTCGCAACGGATATCCATAATAATTTAGTGAGACAGGGGCAGCAGTGCCTCCTGCCTGCCTAGGGTGGTGATACTTGCAAGAAGCACCAAATTTGCATGATCCTGTCCTCATATAATACTGCACTTTATGCATCAGCAGATATAATCAATACAAAAGGAAAGTCATGAACTTTGAAGAGAATCAAAACAAAAATAAAATCTCACTCCATCCATCCTCATTAACACATATAGACGACAGTTGAACACATGATTTTGTACAAAAACAAGGAATTACAGTGTCAATTGTGAAAGGCAATCATTTGATATGTGCGCCCATAGTATTTATCAGAACCATATAAAGCACCTGGCACACAGGCTGGCCTACTCGTTCTGGAAACTCCCCTCCAGTCCTCGCAGCTCCAATAACCTAAGCAACACATACACATAGATATCTCCAAATTACAAAAAGAAAGAAAGAAGAAACACTAAATCAGAGTGTACAATAGCTTGCAAACATCGCAATCTCAGTGAATAAAGCAAAAACTGAAAGACTTGACGGTGACACTGACACCACACTAATGGAAAAAGCCTTGTGATTCAGCAAGATCAAACCAAAATTGCAGAGATAAAAAAGTGCATGATCACATCAGTTACAAAACAAAACGACAAATTTACCGCGCCACGATCAAGGGGATGGTTAAACCGACACCGCGAGCCAAAGCCACAGAACCCGGTCCTCAAATAGTAGGCACAATCATTCTCATCGGGCCGTTGCGGATACGATTCCTCGCCAGCACCCAATCCCAATTGCCACATAGGCTCTGCATTTTTCAAATTCAAGATCAAACCCACTTCACAACACGCCACATTCAGAGAAAAATGAACCACAAATCACCAATCACAAAACAAAAAAAATGAACCGAATTTCTAGAAATGCAGAGATACACATACCTTCGAGTCCGGTTTCTCCCCCTGCTCCGGTCCATTCCGCCGACGGATCAGACCGCGAGCCTTCACTGGACCGGCCGTACTGCTCCATTGCACGGTCCTAAACCGGTGAAACGTAGCTGATTGTAGACAGAGAAAGTAAAGAGAGAAAAATGGGGTTGGATTTTTATGGGGTTTCTCTTTCTCTCTCTTAACTCACACTCAGAGACAAGACAACAGCGTCTCTGTTTCTTCTTCTTCTACTCTCTCTCTCTCTCTCTCACACACTCACTCTCTTTCAGTTTCAAAGCGTTTGATTTTTGATCTTTCTATGCTGATCCTCTGTGACGGGCTTCTTTTATTGGTCTGCGTGTTTGTTGGTTGGTTTTATTTATATGCACCCGCCAACACATCTCACTAAAATTATCATAATTATATATATATATATATATATTTCAGAAAAATATTTATGCAGAGTTAACGAAGATAAGTTATTTGTATTTATTTTTAAAATGATATCATTTTAAGATTGAAAGATTAAAAAATTATAATTATAAAGACTATAATAACCCTAAAATAAATTAAAATTACAAAAACACTATAATTTTTGTCCTAAAACAACGTCATATTGGACTTACTGCAGATAACTTATCTGAAGTAACCGCAGAAAAAGCGAACCCTATATATTTATTTATAATCAAATAACATTATTATTTACTACTATTAGAAAATAAAAAATAAATTGTGAAACTTTATTTTTAGAAATTGTAAGAAAAAATGGAAAAATTGTAAATGAAGCTCATTTAGGAGATGCTTGAATTAAGGGTAACTGAATGTGGTAAGGTAATGTAAACAACAAGCTAGTGTAGTGTGAGATATTGGCATAGAGACAAGGGAGTTTGAAAAGACTCAAGTGCCCTTGAATTTTAGCATGCGGGTTTAGTGGGGGAGTCAATGGAGAAGGTGTATGCGATATGATATGACAGCGTTGTCCTCTTGCATTAGAGTTAATACAAAAAGTAATGTGAACATTAATTAATTAATTAAGTACTGTGGGGGTGTGTGTGTGGGCCGTTGCTGATCGCTGATGTAGCAGATGCAAAAAAGAGCAGGGGATTGATGTTGTTGGTTCCACGTGGCAAAAAAGGAGGATCTTCCTTAAAAGTGGTAAAAAGGTCACATGAATTTACAATGTAACGAGGATTATGGGATCTTTTCCGAAACACAAACTTTCAATACGGTTATATGTAAGTCTCAAACTTTCTCTCCTAACCAGCTTCTAATCACTCTTCATGATAAGAGATTATTACATGTGAAAATATGTTATCTTACACAAGTTTAATAATTAATGAATGCATCCAAAACTATTTAAACAGTAACATAAAGATGAGGGCCCTTTTAATTTAATCAACACGAACCCCCCCAAAAAAGTTAATTTTTCTTCTTCTGATTATTAATATCTTTCCGTTCTTTGTATTTTATAATTAATGAAATTTAACTTTTTTGGAAACATGAAATTTAACTTTATGTTGAAGGTAAAGGTGGCTGGTTAGCAGACAATGCTTTTGCAACATACATTTTGTTGAGAGAATATTTTGATTATTTTCTCCTCCAAACCCACGTTTGAAATATGGCGTAATATCATAAAACACCTATGAAAATTTAATTTTTGCTCTCAATTTATAAGTATAAGTAACTTTCATGATTTAGGAAAAATTATGATATGGATTATCCTGACCTCCTTTTTTTCAATTAACATTTTCCTTATTTATATTATATCTTTTTACAAAAAAAATTTCCTTTGTGTGAATGACATATCCATTTTTACGGTTGTTTTCATGTGTTACTTTGAATGTTAAGAACATTCAAAATGAGACACATGTATTATAAACAAATTATCAATTATGTATTCTTGTGAATACATAAGCAAAGTATCAAAATTATTTTTTTTTCCTTTCTTCTCAAAGATTATGTCAGCATGGGTGTCTTGTTTTTATTGGATGAATGTAGATGCAACTGAGCACTTAAAATATTTTCTTGGAGGACATGGGACTTTAAATGCTGTGAATTTGCGGCGCAAAGTTATTAAATGAAAATAAAAAAATGTCTTCCAAGTTCAAGCAAGAGTATACGAGATTGGATTTTGAGAGAGAGAAAAAAATACAAAGTAATCAAACTCATTGAGAAAATGTTAAATCAAAAAGTGTGAATAATGTTAAGCGGACAAATGTTCTATTTATCTATTATATAATGGGATAGGATATTGTAACAATTAATTAGGATTATTACCAATATTACTATCAATCAATTTTATCGTTAGATCGATTATGTTGACCTAACGATTATATTTATTTCCATCTTTATATGGTTATAATTTTTTATATTTAATACTTTTATAATTTAAGCATATAAAAATATAATTTAAGTAAAAGATAGGTTACCTTATATTTATATGTTAATTATTGTTAGTTTTTTAAGGTTAGAAAAATACTATGCTAATATATCTATGGAGCATAGGTTACTCAATTTGTTCAAATAAGGTGGAATGTAAATTTTAGGCGCAAAATTGAGTTTATCGTGTGATATAAAAAAATTCAAAAAAATAGAGTATAGTTTATCATATCATCTTTATATCAATTATTGTATTATTTTCCATTAAAATACGACCCAAAAGATTTTAAGATAATAAAAGATGGGGGCTATATGAAAACATAGGTTGATCTTTATCTATCCGTTTATATATTCATATGTAAGATAAAAGTTCTTCAAATGCATATCATGTCCCTTCTAAAACTTTAATTGTCATGTACCAAAAAAAAAAAAAACTTTAATTGTCATGTCAACAGCTTGTAAATATGAATATATTTTTTTATTAATTTTTCATTTATTTTTGTATTCTCCCCTTTTTTGTTCTTTTTTCATATTTTTATATAAATTTTTAAATACAAATGCTTAATTTTTCGTATAAAAACTCAAATTATGACCAAAAAAAATACTTTTATGAATTAACTCTAAAAACAAAGTAAAGTAAGATTCTTACATCAGCAGGCTTATTATATTCTTTTTAGGTTATAATCTTTTTTTTTTCTTTTTAATATGAGGAGGGGCTGAAGACAGCAAGCAAAGACAATAGAAGCCATGAGGGGAATACAAAAAAGTACAATCATAATTTATTTTCCGATAATCGAACAAAGTTTGTAACAGTGACCAAAGTGTTGGCCAAAAAAATTATCAGACTGCTATGTCAATAGTAAATTTTGCCAAAATGTCATGTGGCATATTTCGCTACACTGTGTAGTGAAATATGTGTTCAAATAATTCGCTACACACTGTAGCGAAATATGCCATGTCAGACTGCTCAGAACCAAAAATGTCATGTGTCAAAATTGAAACAATTTTGACACGTGACATATTTCGCTACACTGTGTAACGAATTATTTGCACACATATTTCGCTACACAGTGTAGCGAAATATGTCACGTGATATTTTGACAAATTTTACTGTTAACATAGTAGTCTGATAATTTTTTTTACGAACAGTAACAAAATACTGTTCCCAGAAGTTTCACCATCCAATTAGCACAACCGTCAACCTCTCTGATCATGTCAATGAAGTGAACTTGCCAATTTCAATTCAAATGTTAGTACATATTCATAATTTAACGACTATTTTTTGAATATTTTAGTACGATGTTATTAGTAATACATAATTTTAAATTCTTTAAGTCAAATCAAGAAAATGCAACTGAATAAAATACTCTTTCGATATTTTTTTTTCATAACATTATAATTTTTAGAATATTCTATTTTTTTTTGGCAAATTACAAAATAATTTAATTGATATTAATTTATTTTGTTAGATTTAATTATAAATTTTTTTATAAAACAAATAAAATTGTATAAAAAGTATTCAAGTTTATTTAAAAATATATTTATGCTGACCTAATAAATCAGAATACATCATTCAACAAGTAAAAATTAATCTATATAACTTAAAAGCATCTTTTTAATATTTGATGCATGACCCCGTGTTAAATGACTCAAGGCCCTTTTAAAAAACAATGTTCATTGAATATTCAGTTCAATATATAATAATAATATTTTTAAGTTAAAAAATTAAAATATAAGATTATGAATTATTGCATGTGAAGTTTATTATTTTGTTTTTCTTTTAATTGTGTTTTAATGATCGTGTTGGAATATATAATGCACATAGATAATGTGAACTTGTTAATTTCAAATTATTGACAAACAAAACTCCGAAAAATCTCATATGAAAATATTAATTAATAATTATTATATAAATAATATTTTATTACTATATTATTGAATTTACAATTTGAATGATAATATTTTTCCTATAAATAGAAGCTAGGGGAAACCATTCGTGATTATTTAAAATTGAGAAAAAATCAAAGAGTGAGGGGTCATAAAATTTTTGGAGGAAACTCTTGAGAGTTATGATGAGAAAAAAAAAAAGAGTGAAGAAGGTTGTCAATAAGAAAAGATAAAAGTGAAGGTGGGATAATTTCTTTCTTTTTTTAATATATAAAGCACAAATGAGTGTTATTTTGGATATATTATTTTTCCTCTTATTTCTTTATTTAATTTATATTTTTGCACTTTGTATAGGTATATATATTAAAATTCATATTAAAGTAAGTTTAAAATTTCACAATTTTCAATTACATGCAGTATATCTGTATAGTAACATATTCATAAACAATATCATATATATGATAAATATCCTACCTGTGTATATGCAATTACTTACATGTATTGTTTTATGTTCTTTTCATTTATATCTTATGTCTTTAATTTTCTATCTTTTAAAATTTACCTTCGGTGAATTTCTTATGATTAATTTTATGTGGTGAAAATTCATATAACATATATTTTACAAAATCTTACGCAGTGATTTAATTTTTCTTATTTTCATTGTGATGTCAAATTTAAATAGGATTTTTATTCTGAGATGAATATTTGATGTCAGAACTGCTTTCTTGTTTCGCTGTTTTCTTTTTGTTCTTTGCCTGAGGCCTAGCCCCTTCTCGTTACCGAAAAAAATAATGATGTATTATTAATTACAATTTTCTAAAAAGATTATGGAATACTTTTGAAGGTACCCACATTTGTTTGCATAAAAAGTTTGTAGAATTTCTCATATAAGGGCATAGTTGAGACACTGATCAGTTTCTTAGGTCAAGAAATACATAGAAAAATTTATACTTACGAATATATTTGGGATGCTAGATTTCTTTAAGTTATTATGTTTTAACATTATGTGTGTATTT